CGTCTCTCCACATACTCTGCTCCCTTTTTCTACTTCTTTTCTTTATGTTTCTGCAGGCACACACAACCAGACACACACACACAAGATGCGCATTGCAGTGGATTTGGATGCTTCTTTTGTAGTGCATGCTGGCAGTTGCGTGTGGCGGCTGTTGTCCTCTTCTGTGGCCATGAGGAGAAGGGAGGAGGGAGGGAGTGCGTAGCCGGAGTCTTTTTTCCTGTGGCTGCGTTGGGTTGGGCTTCGTGTCCCAGTGAGGACTGGATGGCAGTGTGAATTTTGTAGCCGCGTCATTACTAACTGAGGGTCCGCTTGCGCCGTGTGTGTTGTGTGGTGGCCGCGGGGCTTTCGGCCACCTCCTTGGGGTTGTGGAAATGAACTGGGGGGAGATGGTGGTGGTGGATGCCGTCTCGTGGTGTGTGAACTGTGCTGCTGGACCTGCTGCCCTCTCTTCATTTTGTCTACTCTCTCTCGCTGTATCCGCTGTGCTCTGTTTCTCTCCCTCTTGTTCCATTCTTTTTCTTCTGTCCCACAGATCAGTTCACTGAATTCAGCAAATATACTACGGGTGATGATGATGACGATGGTGACGGTGCGGCGCCGTGCGGTGTGCGCCGTGTTGTTCCTTGGGCTCTTGTGCTGCTGCTGCTCGTCCGTGTGCGTTACGGCGGCTGGGAGTCCTGGACATGTATCTGGTGATGCGGATACGGTGGTTGTGCCGGTGGATGTGTCGTGTCCTCAGAGTGACGGCAGCCTGAGCTATCGCGTGCGTGGGGGTGTGTGGGCGTGGACGAAGTGTTCTGCTGCCGGTGCTGAGGCTCAGTATGAGAATTATACGTTCAGTGGCTTTGATGTGCGCATGCATAGCCGAAATGGTGAGCTGGGTACTGTGTGTCATGTGGCCAATGCGGTGTACACATCTAACAACTGTGCTGCCAGCTGTGCAACGAAAGGGGAAGGGGTCACCGTTGCCTTCACGATGAATGTGACGACACATGAATACGCCGGCCTTTACGAATTGTGGTGGCGTCAATTTTCTTCCGACGGAACTATTCCTGCGCTTGCCCGGAGCAGCGATGCTGACCAGACGGGCATCTGCCACCCACCACCGCCCCGTGAAGGGAAGGATGAGAGAAAATCCGGTGAGGCAACGGCGCCGCAAGTCAGTGCCGAGCCGTCACGTCAAAACGAGGGTGCGCGACAGTCTGCCGCTGCTGACGCGCCCCGTACCGTCGATCCGAGTCCCGCATCCAACACGGAGAGCAACACGTCTAGGAAAAAGCCTCGCACTGCAACCGATCCGAACGAAAACGTGGCTCCAACACCACCCAAGAGGAAGCCTGGCATTGCCACGAGTCGGAACATAGAAATGGATCCGAATGCATTCGTGACGAACACTGCGCCCGCCACCGCGTTGAGGATGGCAGTGGGCTCGAAGGATGCCCATAAGAGTGAAGCCGTTGACGGCAGCGGCGAGCACGTTCCTGGGGAAATTGCGGGAGGAATGAATGTTCACAACGTCCCCGGAACACCAAAACGGCATCAAGAAATGTGACCCTGCGCGATCTGGAGCGGCGTGAGTCCAGACGGCCGCCTCGCCCTGTTTGACGACGTGGAGTTGATACCACGCGATTCAACTGGCGACCGCACTGTGCGTGTGTGCGTGTCTCTGGCGCTGTTGCTGCTGCTGCTGCTGGAACTGTGTGGAGTTGTGGTAGTCCTTCGAGCGAAAGAGGGTGGAATTGTGATTCCCCACGAGGGATATTTGCCGCATACTTCGCGCTTTTCATATCACTGTTTTTTCTCTTCTTTCTTAATGATTTACAGATCGCTTTTTAAACCTTTTTTCTTCTTTGTTACTGTTTTTCCCTTTTTTCTTCTTTGTAATGTTCTTTTTGATGCTTTTTCCTCTGGAGTAATAAGTACCCTTTTTTTCTCCTCATTATTTAATGTTCGGTTGATGTACACTGGAATGGGCGAAGTGCTTCCCTCTCTTGTGTGTTTCTTTTTTGTTGTTGCCCACACGCGGTGCCGGCTCCGCTGCTGTGCGTCCCACGGACTGCAGGAAAGGAGGATTGGAAGAAGAGGCCGGATGCCGCATGAAATGTGAGGGATGTTTTGTGGGCTCGTGAAGCAGTACAATCAGTTTTATTTTTACTTTAATTTCTTTTTCTTGGTGCAGGCAATATGTATGTACAGAAACACAAGGTCGATTGATTGTGCTGCTTGGCGCATGAAATAAAAATTCTGCTGAATGAATTTTCTCCATTGTTTCCGGGAGCCCTGCCGGACACTCAAATTGTTTTTTGTTTTTTTCCAGCTTTTTTTGGCTTTCTGTTTGCGGGGCGGTGTGCGAGTTCTGCAGTCGTGCCAATTCCAACTGCCTCATTGTGTGTTTGTTGCTGCTGCTACCATTTGTTACTGTGCGGTGGCGGGGAGTTAGTTTGTGCCGAAGGCTGCACGCAATTGACGGGAGTGATGATGGCGATGATGATGACTGGCCGTGTGCTGCTGGTGTGTGCCCTCTGCGTGCTGTGGTGCGGTGCCGGCGGTGTTTATGCGAGGGACCTCGACAACAAGGCACTGGGTGGCTGCATGGCGTCGGGAGTGTTGGGTATGAATGCATCGTATGTGCCGAACGGATGTAATAAATACATGCCGACGCCGCCTTTGCGGTCAGCATTGCCTATCCCTGCCATACAAGCCGAAGTTCAGCAATTGACGGACGTTTCTCGGGATGACATCATTAAATTATCCTCAGACAATGCTCCAGGTTTTGGTTCTGGTGATGGAAGCAGAGATAAAGGTGCAGCTGCTCTTACTGGTCCTGCTGTTCCTGCTGCTTCTCCGACAGGTGTTGTTCCAGGTGCTGGTGACTCTGCTGTTCCTGGTCCTACTGGTGCTGGTGGTTCTTCTGGAAGTGAAGGTGATTCTCTGGTCCCTTCTTCTTCCGGAGATCTTCCTTCTCAGAGTAATGGCACGGTGATCACAAGCAGTGATTTATCCACTACGCATAGTGGATCCAGAGAATAAGAGGTTTCGCGACAAAAAGAAACAGAGACTCACGACCCCTCACTGCCCAAAGGATTGGCACAGGAGGCACTCCCCACTGTACAGCAGTCACAAATTTCTACTTCAGAAAATAGTAATACGGGTTGCGGAGAGGAGGTGTCGGATTGCGGAAGTGAAGGAAAGTTGGAAAATACAAAAGCGGAAAAAGAGGACTCGGAGGCACCCAAAACACAAGAATCACCACCGACTAAACATAAAGAATCAAATGGCAATGAGGAGAACCCAACGGAAGCATCAAGTACGGAATCTCAGAATACGAAAGCCCAACAAGAAATAAAACCGCCAGTGGATGAGAGTGACAGTACGGGCACCGATGCATCCATAGCGGTTGCCGCACAGAGTACATCGGCCGGCAGTCAAGAAGAAGCAACTGAGTCATCTTCCAATGGCAGTCATTCTCCACTTCAGGGGGAAGTATTCACTGGAACAGACACTCCCGAGGATGCTCCATCTCCGGGTGCCGCAGAAACAGAAAAACGCCAAGGAGAAAATGTGACGAAAGATGGCGACACCGACAGCAGCCCCGCGGCCTCCCACACCACCTCCCCTCTTCTGCTTCTTCTTGCGTGTGCGGCTGCTGTGGTGGCCGCGTGAGAGTGAGGGAGAGAGAGCCGTGCACCGCCCGCACACACACTCGTCTTTCACTCACTCTCTGTGTGTGTCCCCTTGCATGGACTCTCGCCCTCACCTCATCCCACGAAGCACACACATAATGTGCCCATTATATATATGCATGCACACCCATGCAGGCCCGTTGGTGCTCTCTTTTGCACGACACGCACCGCTGCCGTCCTGCCTGGCTGCATGGGCGGAGCACCGTAACCGTTTTCTTGTTTTTTTTTTTGTTTTTCATTGCTTTGACTGGGCGACCTCTCCCTCTCTCTTTCTCTCCCTGTGTGTGTGTTTTGCTTTACGGGAGCAATGAGAGTGTGTGCGCTGGTCGTCCCACGCTTCGGCTTTTTGTTTTGTTTTTCATTGCTTTGTGGTTGAGAGCACCCATTCCGCGGGCTGCGTGTGTGTGATGATATGAGTAATTTCCGTGAGTGCTATCCGCTTCTTTTTGCTGTTGTTTTCTTTGGATTCCCTTGTGCCTCACAGCTGCTCCGTAATTATAGGCGCTGACGAACACACAAGCACATGCGCACACGCACACCATGTGGCACACGCTGTGTAGCGGCGTGACCGCTGGAAGGGCAAGCACAAGGTTGTGGCTGCGGACACTATGGGCCCCTGTGTGTTGGCGCTTGTGGTTGCCTTTGGCCACGCTCATATCCGCCGTGTTGGAAGGGCGGCGTGGTCGTGGGCCGGTGGAGAGATCAGCGGCGAACACGGTGACTTCCACGCCGTGGACTCACAGTAACCTTTTGGACAGTGGCGGTGCGGAAGAAACGGTCATGATCGTTGCAACGCCGTTACGCTTGTTTTTGAGCATCCCGAGAGAAACAGTAAAAATATATTTGCACGCATGACTCTTCCCATTCCCGCTTCAGGGCTGCCCATCGTGATGAGGTTGCCGTGCGGTGGCGTCACCCCTATGAGCTGCTGGGATAGAAAAGGAGAGCGCTGTGCAAGTGGTGGCTGTTGCGTGGCCGGTCACACAAATACTGCGACACCACGAGGAGAGCAGACCAAACACTCCGCGTGCAGGGAGCGTTGCGGCCGATGAGGAATGCGTGCGACGGTGATGGACGCTTCCTCGACGACGGATTGACGGTTTTTCCCTTTGATGGAGTCGGTGCGCACGCGGTGTGTATGGCCGCCTCTGTGGTCCCCTGTTACTCCGCTGTTTGTGCCGCATCCTGACGCATCACTGGCACTAAACTGTTTCCTGTTTCTACTCCCTCTTCTTTTTTTTTTTTTTTTTGCCTCTCTCCTCCCACAGCCAGGCTGCACTGCTGCTGCTGTTGCTGCTACTCACACGAAACAAAGAAATGCAATTTACTCAAGCCATGTGCCAGCCACGACACGCCACGCCGCTTTTCCCATTGGTGGTGTTGCTGCTGATGTACTGCGCCACTGGGCGTATTGCCGCTGCTGATCCCGCCACACAATACCGCTGTGGGTTTGACGAGATGACGAGGAGGAGCGGCCCGCTGCCGACTGCGGTGGTGCGTGAGGTGCCGCGCAAGGGACAGGGCGCGATGCAGGCGTACACCGTCGCCACACAGGATGACGACAGTGACTGGAGGCCGATCCGCATCAAGGTGTCCACGGGGGAACTGGAGAAGAAACGTAATAAAAAGAAGACGTTCTGCGAAGAGGCTGGGGAAACATGCGAAACCGTCTCGGGGGAAAAGGTAGACTGCGAAGCAAGACACATATTGTCGAATGAAAAGAAACAATTGTACACTCAAAAGATTATCCCCGGTGCTGTCAAACTGCACGCTGAGCGGCTACTTGTGAAACCCACTGCTGATAAAATAACGGTTCCGAGGGGTCTGAATGAACCGTGTAACCACTTTAATCCTCCTAGTGAGCACATAAGAGACGGTGTGCCTGATGCTGACTTTATCATCTACGCCGCTGCTAGGCCATCAGGCACTAAAAGCAGGGCTGTTTGGGCGGCCACGTGTATCACATGGGATGATTCTCGTCCCTCTATTGGCGCCATGAACTTTGATCCAAATTACATGACTGACACGGCGTGGAGCGTTCGCGTTGCCGCACACGAACTTGCACATGCTCTTGGGTTCAGCCAAAGGAATATGGAAGAAAAGGGCATGTTGAACTCCGAATACATTGTGCGTGGGAGGAGTCGTTGGATGGTGGCGGGGAATCACGTTAAGGCGAAGACGCGAGCCCACTTTGGTTGTAAGACTCTCGAGGGAATGGAGCTGGAGGACGAAGATGGTGCATCTGCAAGAAAGATCCCTCACTGGAAGGAACGCCACGCGTGGGATGAGCTGATGGCTCCCACAGTCGGTGCCGGCTACTACACGGCTCTGACGATGGCGGTGTTCGCGGATATGGGGTACTACCGCGTGAATTGGAGCATGGCGGAGCCGATGAGCTGGGGCCACCGCAGTGGCTGCGACTTCCTGGAGAAGAAGTGCAGTGAAATGACAGATTTTCCCACCAGGTATCCTCACATGTTCTGCGATGCTAATGACAATGAGACACTTCGCTGCACCTCTGACCGCCGTTACGTCGGGACGTGCACCGCAAACATCGTTGAAAACAAGGGGTATCCTGCGGAAAAGGACGTTTTCCCTGTTGTTTCTCTGTACTTTCACGAAACATCGTCTGGGACAAAGTACAATGCGTGCTCGGACGTGGCTGTGACTTCTCTCCCTGGGTCGCTGACTGGCGACGGCTCGTGGTGCCTGGATGCGGAATTGGTGGAGACGAATGATAACAGCAAACATAAAAGCGTCAGGGGAGTCTGCGCGCAGGTGTCGTGTGAGGGGGGAACAGTGAAGGTGAAGTACCTCGGCAGCAGTGATTTTCAGCCTTGCCCCGAGGACACTCAAATCTCAGTGACATTGAATGGTTTTGAGCAAGATGGAAAGATCAAGTGCCCCACGTACGGCGAGGTGTGCACCATTGCCGCCAACGGCAGCAGTATTGTCATTCCGAGAGCGTTGGAGGATGATAAGCGGGACGAGCGAGGAGAGGAAGGAGAAGCGGCTGTGGTTGCTCCGGCGTTGTCTCCTGGAGCGGAAGCTCTTACAAAGGCGTCCCCTGCCGATTTGCCTGCTGAGGAGCACTCGTCTGAAGAGGGACCCAGTGAAGAAGCGTCCATTGCAGAAGCGTCCATTGCAGAAGCGTCCATTGCTGAAGCGTCCACTGCAGAAGCGTCCATTGCTGAAGCGTCCACTGCAGAAGCGTCCACTGCTGAAGCGTCCATTGCTGAGGCGTCTCCTCCAGGTAAAAATTCTGAAGCTCCAGTAGTGCAAGCGGCATCGAAGCAGCCTCAACAAGAAAGTGAAGCAGAACAAATGACAGCGGTGGAGGCATCGGGCACTACACAGCAAGTGCCGGCGAATTCATCGCAGGGAAGTGTGGGGAGGGCGACGGTTTCGAACATCCCTGCCGTTGGAGAAACAACGGGTGATGGCGGCACCGTGCGTGAGAGCAGGGTGCTGCCGCTGCTTTTCCTGCTGTTGGGACTGTGGGGGTTTGCCGCTCTGTGAGGAGTGACTGGCTGCCGCGTGGGACAATTGCGACCTCCCCTGCACAGAATTAGTTCCCCGGGAAAAAATTTTCTCTGACAATTTTTTTGGTGGTTTTTGTGCGTATTTTAAATTCTTTTTTTTTTCTGCTGCTTCTTTTTTTTTCTTGTTTAGTTCTTCTTTTATTTTGTTTTTTCTGTTTTGCTCCACTCTTCCTTCTTTTTTGATTTTGGGGGGCAATCACTATGGACGCTTTTTCCTTTCTACTCTTCCCTCTTTTTAATTGTTTGTTGCCGCACTCTTCCTGTGAGGGGTGCCGTGTGTTTCCCGCCCAACTGCTCCACTCGCACACCCACCGACACGCTCATGACGACGGCCCTGTGCGCCTCGCCTGCTGCACGCATGAGGAGGGGCGGCGACGAACGGCGCGCTGAGGGAGCCGTGACGTGTGGGCGTGCGACGAGGGCCTGTGGGGCGGAGCACACATTTCTTTCCCTCTTGTTTTTTTTTTGCGTCCAGGGCTGGCAGACACCCGCAGCGCCACGCACACAGCCACACCCTGCCGCCGTGTTTTTCTTTTGTTTTTGTTTCTTTTTATTTGTGGATGGGTGTGTGCCGCCGCGTTTTTAATGGGTTTTGCTTTGCGTGTGCATTTCTTTCCCCTCTGATGATTTTCTTTCTTTTGCTGCGCTCACTCTCCCGATGGAGTGACGCGACTCCCGTCATGTTTTTTCTTGCTTCTCTCAGTCCCACACACACACGAGTGACTGTGCGCTGCGGGCCGCACTCACACACCGATGAAAGGGCTGAGGGGAGCAGCGACACGCGGATGACCCCATGAAATGTAATTGATGTGCGAACATATATGGAGGCCAGACGGTTGAAAGACATGTAAATATTAAGTTTCTTTGCGGGCAATGTATATACAGACAGTTTGGTGTGGCCACACGGCAGTCAGACGATTTTTTTATTATTTTTAAATTTGGGTGAAACAGTGATGGACGATTTTTTCAAATATAACTATTTTGTGCGATGGAGTTTATATAAGACGAAGGGGAACGTTTTTTTTTTTGTTTTAAATAGATTTTGTCTGGGTTGCCGCTGCCTGGGCTGCAGTGCAGTGATGAGTTTGAGCAGTCTTCTTCATGTTGTTTTCACCATGCAACTCTGCCGTACATGTTTGTGCGTCTCTCCACATACTCTGCTCCCTTTTTCTACTTCTTTTCTTTATGTTTCTGCAGGCACACACAACCAGACACACACACACAAGATGCACGTTGCAGTGGATTTGGATGCTTCTTTTGTAGTGCATGCTGGCAGTTGCGTGTGGCGGCTGTTGTCCTCTTCCGTGGCCATGAGCAGAAGGGAGGAGGGAGGGAGTGCGTAGCCGGAGTCCTTTTTCCTGTGGCTGCGTTGGGTTGGGCTCCGTGTTTCACTGAGGACTGGATGGCAGTGTGAATTTTGTAGCCGTGTCATTACTAACTGAGGGTCCGCTTGCGCCGTGTGTGTTGTGTGGTGGCCGCGGGGCTTTCGGCCACCTCCTTGGGGTTGTGGAAATGAACTGGGGGGAGATGGTGGTGGTGGATGCCGTCTCGTGGTGTGTGAACTGTGCTGCTGGGCCTGCTGCCCTCTCTTCATTTTGTCCACTCTCTCTCGCTGTATCCGCTGTGCTCTGTTTCTCTCCCTCTTGTTCCATTCTTTTTCTTCTGTCCCACAGATCAGTTCACTGAATTCAGCAAATATACTACGGGTGATGATGATGACGATGGTGACGGTGCGGCGCCGTGCGGTGTGCGCCGTGTTGTTCCTTGGGCTCTTGTGCTGCTGCTGCTCGTCCGTGTGCGTTACGGCGGCTGGGAGTCCTGGACATGTATCTGGTGATGCGGATACGGTGGTTGTGCCGGTGGATGTGTCGTGTCCTCAGAGTGACGGCAGCCTGAGCTATCGCGTGCGTGGGGGTGTGTGGGCGTGGACGAAGTGTTCTGCTGCCGGTGCTGAGGCTCAGTATGAGAATTATACGTTCAGTGGCTTTGATGTGCGCATGCATAGCCGAAATGGTGAGCTGGGTACTGTGTGTCATGTGGCCAATGCGGTGTACACATCTAACAACTGTGCTGCCAGCTGTGCAACGAAAGGGGAAGGGGTCACCGTTGCCTTCACGATGAATGTGACGACACATGAATACGCCGGCCTTTACGAATTGTGGTGGCGTCAATTTTCTTCCGACGGAACTATTCCTGCGCTTGCCCGGAGCAGCGATGCTGACCAGACGGGCATCTGCCACCCACCACCGCCCCGTGAAGGGAAGGATGAGAGAAAATCCGGTGGGACAACGGCGCCGCAAGTCAGTGCCGAGCCGTCACGTCAAAACGAGGGTGCGCGACAGTCTTCCGCTGCTGACGCACCCAACACCGTCGATCAGAGTCCCGCATCCAACACGGAGAGCAACACGTCTAGGAAAAAGCCTCGCACTGCAACCGATCCGAACGAAAACGTGGCTCCAACACCACCCAAGAGGAAGCCTAGCATTGCCATGAGTCGGAACATAGAAATGGATCCGAATGCATTCGTGACGAACACTGCGCCCGCCACCGCGTTGAGGATGGCAGTGGGCTCGAAGGATGCCCATAAGAGTGAAGCCGTTGACGGCAGCGGCGAGCACGTTCCTGGGGAAATTGCGGGAGGAATGAATGGTCACAACGTCCCCGGAACACCAAAACGGCATCAAGAAATGTGACCTTGCGCGATCTGGAGCGGCGTGAGTCCAGACGGCCGCCTCGCCCTGTTTGACGACGTGAATTTGATACCACGCGATTCAACTGGCGACCGCACTGCGCGTGTGTGCGTGTCTCTGGCGCTGTTGCTGCTGCTGCTGCTGGAACTGTGTGGAGTTGTGGTAGTCTTTCGAGCGAAAGAGGGTGGAATTGTGACTTCCCACGGGGGATATTTGCCGCATACTTTGCGCTTTTCATACCACTGTTTTTTCTCTTCTTTCTTAATGATTTACAGATCGCTTTTTAAACCTTTTTTCTTCTTTGTAATGTTCTTTTTGATGCTTTTTCCTCTGGAGTGATAAGTACCCTTTTTTTCTCCTCATTATTTAATATTCGGTTGATGTACACTGGAATGGGCGAAGTGTTTCCCTCTCTTGTGTGTTTCTTTTTTGTTGTTGCCCACACGCGGTGCCGGCTCCGCTGCTGTGCGTCCCACGGACTGCAGGAAAGGAGGATTGGAAGAAGAGGCCGGATGCCGTGTGAAATGAGAGGGATGTTTTGTGGGCTCGTGAAGCAGTACAATCAGTTTTTATTTTTACTTTAATTTCTTTTTATTGGTGCAGGCAATATGTATGTACAGAAACACAAGGTCGATTGATTGTGCTGCTTGGCGCATGAAATAAAAATTCTGCCGAATGAAATTTCTTCATTGTTTCCGGGAGCCCTGCCGGACACTCAAATTGTTTTTTGTTTTTTTCCTGCCTTTTTAGCTTTCTGTTTGCGGGGCGGTGTGCGAGTTCTGCAGTCGTACCAATTCCAACTGCCTCATTGTGTGTTTTTTGCTGCTGCTACCATTTGTTACTGTGCGGTGGCGGGGAGTTAGTTTGTGCTGAAGGCCACACGTAAGTGACGGGAGTGATGATGGCGATGATGACTGGCCGTGTGCTGCTGGTGTGTGCCCTCTGCGTGCTGTGGTGCGGTGCCGGCGGTGTTTATGCGAGGGACCTCGACAACAAGGCACTGGGTGGCTGCATGGTGTCGGGAGTGTTGGGTATGAATACATCGTATGTGCCGAACGGATGTAATAAATACATGCCGACGCCGCCTTTGCGGTCAGCATTGCCTATCCCTGCCATACAAGCCGAAGTTGGGCAGGTAAGTGTTACTCCTCCAGGTTCTGGTTCTGGTGGTGGAGGCGGAGGTTCTCCCGGTGCTCCTCCTGTTCCAGGTGGTGATGTTTCTCGTGTTCCCGCTGCTGGTGCTGGTGACTCTTCTGGAAGTGAAGGTGATTCTCTGGTCCCTTCTTCTCCTAGAGATTTTTCTTAGAGTGATGACACGGTGATGAAAAGCAGTGATTTATCCAATACGCATAGTGGATCCCAAGAAGAGGTGCTGCAACAAGAGGAAACAGAGACTCACAACCCCTCACCGTCCAAAGAACGGACACAGGAGGCACTCCCCGATGTACAGCAGCCACAAACCTCTGCTTCAGAAAATAGTAATACGGGTTGCGACGCTGAGGCGTCGAATTGCGGAAGTGAAGGAAAGTTGGAAAAGGCAAAAGCGGAAAAAGAGGACTCGGAGGCACCCAAAACACAAGAATCACCACCGACTCAACATAAAGAATCAAATGGCAATGAGGAGAACCCAACAGAAGCATCAAGTACGGAATCTCAGAATACGGAAACCCAACAAGAAATAAAACCGCCAGTGGATGAGAGTGACAGTACGGGCACCGATGCATCCATAGCGGTTGCCGCACAGAGTACATCGGCCGGCAGTCAAGAAGAAGCAACTGAGTCATCTTCCAATGGCAGTCATTCTCCACTTCAGGGGGAAGTATTCACTGGAACGGACACTCCCGAGAATGCTCCATCTCCGGGTGCCGCAGAAACAGAAAAACGCCAAGGAGAAAATGTGACGAAAGATGGCGACAGCGACAGCAGCCCCGCGGCCTCCCACACCACCTCCCCTCTTTTGCTTCTTCTTGCGTGTGCGGCTGCTGTGGTGGCCGCGTGAGAGTGAGTGAGAGAGAGCCGTGCACCGCCCGCACACACACTCGTCTTTCACTCACTCTCTGTGTGTGTCCCCTTGCATGGACCCTCGCCCTCACCCCACCCCACGAAGCACACACATAATGTGCCCATTGTATATATGCATGCACACCCATGCATGCCCGTTGGTGCTCTCTTTTGCACGACACGCACCGCTGCCGTCCTGCCTGGCTGCATGGGCGGAGCACCGTAACTGTTTCTGTTTTGTTTTCCATTGCTTTGAGTGGGCGACCTCTCTCTCTCTCCCTGTGTGTGTGTTTTGCTTTACGGGAGCAATGAGAGTGTGTGCGCTGGTCGTCCCACGCTTTGGCTTCCGTCATGTGTGTGTGTGTTTTTGTGGTACTCTGCTTGTGTTGTGGTTGAGTGCAGCCATTCCGCGGGCTGCGTGTGTGTGATGATATGAGTAATTTGCGTGTGCCATCCGCTTCTTTTTGCTGTTGTTTTCTTTGGATTTCCTTGTGCCTCACAGCTGCTTTGTAATTATAGGCGCTGACGAACACACAAGCACATGCGCACACGCACACCATGTGGCACACGCTGTGTAGCGGCGAGGCCGCTGGAAGGGCAAGCACAAGGTTGTGGCTGCGGACACTATGGGCCCCTGTGTGTTGGCGCTTGTGGTTGCCTTTGGCCACGCTCATATCCACCGTGTTGAAAGGGCCGGCGTGGTCGTGGGCCGGTGGAGAGATCAGCGGCGAACACGGTGAATTCCACGCCGTGGACTCACAGTAACCTTTTGGACAGTGGCGGTGCGGAAGAAACGGTCATGATCGTTGCCCCGTCGTCACGCTTGTTTTTGAGCATCCCGAGAGAAACAGTAAAAATATATTTGCACGCATGAGTCTTCCCATTCCCGCTTCAGGGCTGCCCATCGTAATGAGGTTGACGTGCGGTGGCGTTACCCCTATGAGCTGCTGGGATAGAAAGGGAGAGCGCTGTGCAAGTGGTGGCTGTTGCGTGGCCGGTCACACAAATACTGCGACACCACGAGGAGAGCAGACCAAACACTCCGCGTGCAGGGAGCGTTGCGGCCGATGAGGAATGCGTGCGACGGTGATGAACGTTTCCTCGACGACGGATTGACGGTTTTTCCCTTTGATGGAGTCGGTGCGCACGCGGTGTGTATGGCCGCCTCAGTGGCGTCCCCTGTTACTCCGCTGCTTGTGCCGCATCCTGACGCATCACTGGCACTAAAGTGTTTCCTGTTTCTACTCCCTCTTCTTTTTTTTTTTTTTTTTGCTTCTCTCCTCCCGCAGCCAGGCTGCACTGCTGCTGCTGCTGCTGCTACTCACACGAAACAAAGAAATGCAATTTACTCAAGCCATGTGCCAGCCACGCCACGCCACGCCGCTTCTCCCATTGGTGGTGTTGCTGCTGATGTACTGCGCCACTGGGCGTATTGCCGCTGCTGATCCCGCCACACAATACCGCTGTGGGTTTGACGAGATGATGAGGAGGAGCGGCCCGCTGCCGACTGCGGTGGTGCGTGAGGTGCCGCGCAAGGGACAGGGCGCGATGCAGGCGTACACCGTCGCCACACAGGATGACGACAGTGACTGGAGGCCGATCCGCATTGCGGTTTCCACGGAGGATTTGGAGAGCAATAAAAAAAGGAAGAAGATGTTCTGCGAAAAGGCTGGGGAAATATGCGAAACCGTCTTGGGGGAAAAGGTAGACTGCGAAGCAAGAGACATATTTTCGCAGGAAAAGAAACAATTGTACACTCAAAAGATTATCCCCGGTGCTGTCAAACTGCACGCTGAGCGGCTACTTGTGAAACCCACTGCTGATAAAATAACGGTTCCGAGGGGTCTGAATGAACCGTGTAACCACTTTAATCCTCCTAGTGAGCACATAAGAGACGGTGTGCCTGATGCTGACTTTATCATCTACGCCGCTGCTAGGCCATCAGGTACTAAAAGCAGGGCTGTTTGGGCGGCCACGTGTATCACATGGGATGATTCTCGTCCCTCTATTGGCGCCATGAACTTTGATCCAAATTACATGACTGACACGGCGTGGAGCGTTCGCGTTGCCGCACACGAACTTGCACATGCTCTTGGGTTCAGCCAAAGGAATATGGAAGAAAAGGGCATGTTGAACTCTGAATACATTGTGCGTGGGAGGAGTCGTTGGATGGTGGCGGGGAATCACGTTAAGGCGAAGACGCGAGCCCACTTTGGTTGTAAGACTCTCGAGGGAATGGAGCTGGAGGACGAAGATGGTGCATCGGCAAGAAAGATCCCTCACTGGAAGGAACGCCACGCGCGGGACGAGCTGATGGCTCCCACAGTCGGTGCCGGCTACTACACGGCTCTGACGATGGCGGTGTTCGCGGATATGGGGTACTACCGCGTGAATTGGAGCATGGCGGAGCCGATGAGCTGGGGCCACCGCAGTGGCTGCGACTTCCTGGAGAAGAAGTGCAGTGAAATGACAGATCTCCCCGCCAGGTATCCTCACATGTTCTGCGATGCTAATGACAATGAGACACTTCGCTGCACCTCTGACCGCCGTCACGTCGGGACGTGCACCGCAAACATCGTTGAAAACAAGGGGTATCCTGCGGAAAAGGACGTTTGCCCTGTTGTTTCTTCGTACTTTCACGAAACATCGTCTGGGACAAAGTACAATGCGTGCTCGGACGTGACTGTGACTTCTCTCCCTGGGTCGCTGACTGGCAGGGACTCGTGGTGCCTGGATGCGGAATTGGTGGAGACGAAGGACGGTAATGGCCATAAAAGCGTCAAGGGAGTGTGCGCGCAGGTGCTGTGTGAGGGGGGAACAGTGAAGGTGAAGTACAGTGGCAGCAATGATTTTGAGCCTTGCCCTGAGGGCTCTGTAATCTCAGTGACGTTGAATGGTTTTGAGCAAGGTGGAAAGATCAAGTGCCCCATGTACGGCGAGGTGTGCACCATTGCCGCCAACGGCAGCAGTATTGTCATTCCGAGCGTATTGGAGGATGATAAGCGGGACGAGCGAGGAGAGGAAGGAGAAGAGTCTGTGGCTGCTCCGGCGTTGTCTCCTGGAGCGGAAGCTCTTACAAAGGCGTCCCCTGCCGATTTGCCTGCTGAGGAGCACTCGTCTGAAGAGGGACCCAGTGAAGAAGCGTCCATTGCTGAAGCGTCCACTGCTGAAGCGTCCATTGCTGAGGCGTCTCCTCCAGGTAAAAATTCTGAAGCTCCAGTAGTGCAAGCGGCATCGAAGCAGCCTCAACAAGAAAGTGAAGCAGAACAAATGACAGCGGTGGAGGCATCTGCCACTACACAGCAAGTGCCGGCGAATTCATCGCAGGGAAGTGTGGGGAGGGCGACGGTTTCGAACATCCCTGCCGTTGGAGAAACAACGGGTGATGGCGGCACCGTGCGTGAGAGGAGGGTGCTGCCGCTGCTTTTCCTGCTGTTGGGACTGTGGGGGTTTGCCGCTCTGTGAGGAGTGACTGGCTGCCGCGTGGGACAATTGCGACCTCCCCTGCACAGAATTAGTTCCCCGGGAAAAATTTTCTCTGACAATTTTTTTGGTGTTTTTTGTGCGTATTTTGAATTCTTTTTTTTTTTCTGCTGCTTCTTTTTTTTCTTTTTTTGTTTTTTTTTTCTTTTGTTTTTTCTGTTTTGCTCCACTCTTCCTTCTTTTTTGATTTTGGGGGGCAATCACTATGGACGCTTTTTCCTTTCTACTCTTCCCTCTTTTTAAATTGTTTGTTGCCGCACTCTTCCTGTGAGGGGTGCCGTGTGTTTCCCGCCCAACTGCTCCACTCGCACACCCACCGACACGCTCATGACGACGGCCCTGTGCGCCTCGCCTGCTGCACGCATGAGGAGGGGCGGCGACGAACGGCGCGTTGAGGGAGCCGTGACGTGTGGGCGTGCGACGAGGGCCTGTGGGGCGGAGCACACATTTCTTTTCCTCTTGTTTTGTTTTTTATGCGTCCAGGGCTGGCAGACACCCGCAGCGCCACGCACACAGCCACACCCTGCCGCCGTGCTTTTCTTTTGTTTTTGTTTCTTTTTCTTTGTGGATGGATGTGTGCCGCCGCGTTTTTAATGGGTTTTGCTTTGCGTGTGCATTTCTTTCCCCTCTGATGATTTTCTTTCTTTTGCTGCGCTCACTCTCCCGATGGAGTGACGCGACTCCCGCCATGTTTTTTCTTGCTTCTCTCAGTCCCACACACACGAGTGACTGTGCGCTGCGGGCCGCACTCACACACCGATGAAAGGGCTGAGGGGAGCAGCGACACGCGGATGACCCCATGAAATGTAATTGATGTGCGAGCATATATGGAGGCCAGACGGTTGAAAGACATGTAAATATTTAAGTTTCTTTGCGGGCAATGCATATACAGACAGCTTGGTGTGGCCACACGGCAGTCAGACGATTTTTTTATTATTTTTAAATTTGGGTGAAGCAGTGATGGACGATTTTTTTAAATATAACTATTTTGTGCGATGGAGTTTATATAAGATGAGGGGGAAGGTTTTTTTTTTTTGTTTTAAATAAATTTTGTCTGGGTTGCCGCTGCCTGGGCTGCAGTGCAGTGATGAGTTTGAGCAGTCTTCTTCATGTTGTTTTCACCATGCAACTCTGCCGTACATGTTTGTGCGTCTCTCCACATACTCTGCTCCCTTTTTCTACTTCTTTTCTTTATGTTTCTGCAGGCACACACAACCAGACACACACACACAAGATGCACGTTGCAGTGGATTTGGATGCTTCTTTTGTAGTGCATGCCGGCAGTTGCGTGTGGCGGCTGTTGTCCTCTTCCGTGGCCATGAGCAGAAGGGAGGAGGGAGGGAGTGCGTAGCCCGAGTCCTTTTTCCTGTGGCTGCGTTGGGTTGGGCTCCGTGTTTCACTGAGGACTGGATGGCAGTGTGAATTTTGTAGCCGTGTCATTACTAACTGAGGGTCCGCTTGCGCCGTGTGTGTTGTGTGGTGGCCGCGGGGCTTTCGGCCACCTCCTTGGGGTTGTGGAAATGAACTGGGGGGAGATGGTGGTGGTGGGTGCCGTCTCGTGGTGTGTGAACTGTGCTGCTGGGCCTGCTGCCCTCTCTTCATGTTGTCTACTCTCTCTCGCTGTATCCGCTGTGCTCCGTTTCTCTCCCTCTTGTTCCATTCTTTTTCTTCTGTCCCACAGATCAGTTTACTGAATTCAGCAACTATACCACGGGTGATGATGATGATGACGATGGTGACGGTGCGGCGCCGTGCGGTGTGCGCCGTGTTGTTCCTTGGGCTCTTGTGCTGCTGCTGCTCGTCCGTGTGCGTTACGGCGGCTGGGAGTCCTGGACATGTATCTGGTGATGCGGATACGGTGTTTGTGCCGGTGGATGTGTCGTGTCCTCAGAGTGACGGCAGCCTGAGCTATCGCGTGCGTGGGGGTGTGTGGGCGTGGACGAAGTGTTCTGCTGCCGGTGCTGAGGCTCAGTATGAGAATTATGCGTTCAGTGGCTTTGATGTGCGCATGCATAGCCGAAATGGTGAGCTGGGTACTGTGTGTCATGTGGCCAATGCGGTGTACACATCTAACAACTGTGCTGCCAGCTGTGCAACGAAAGGGGAAGGGGTCACCGTTGCCTTCACGATGAATGTGACGACACATGAATACGCCGGCCTTTACGAATTGTGGTGGCGTCAATTTTCTTCCGACGGAACTATTCCTGCGCTTGCCCGGAGCAGCGATGCTGACCAGACGGGCATCTGCCACCCACCACCGCCCCGTGAAGGGAAGGATAAGAGAAAATCCGGTGAGGCAACGGCGCCGCAAGTCAGTGCCGAGCCGTCACGTCAAAACGAGGGTGCGCGACAGTCTGCCGCTGCTGACGCGCCCAACACCGTCGATCAGAGTCCCGCATCCAACACGGAGACCAACACGTCTAGGAAAAAGCCTCGCACTGCAACCGAACCGAACGAAAACGTGGCTCCAACACCGCCCAAGAGGAAGCCTAGCATTGCCATGAGTTGGAACATAGAAATGGATCCGAATGCATTCGTGACGAATACTGCGTCCGCCACCGCGTTGAGGATGGCAGTGGGCTCGAAGGATGCCCGTAAGAGTGAAGCCGTTGACGGCAGCGGCGAGCACGTTCCTGGGGAAATTGCGGGAGGAATGAATGGTCACAACGTCTCCGGAACACCAAAACGGCATCAAGAAATGTGACCCTGCGCGATCTGGAGCGGCGTGAGTCCAGACGGCCGCCTCGCCCTGTTTGACGACGTGAATTTGATACCACGCGATTCAACTGGCGACCGCACTGCGCGTGTGTGCGTGTCTCGGGCGTTGCTGCTGCTGCTGCTGGAACTGTGTGGAGTTGTGGTAGTCCTTCGAGCGAAAGAGGGTGGAATTGTGACTCCCCACGGGGGATATTTGCCACATACTTTGCGCTTTTCATACCACTGTTTTTTCTCTTCTTTCTTAATGATTTACAGATCGCTTTTTAAACCTTTTTTCTTCTTTGTTACTGTTTTTCCCTTTTTTCTTCTTTGTAATGTTCTTTTTGATGCTTTTTCCTCTGGAGTAATAAGTACCCTTTTTTTCTCCTCATTATTTAATGTTCGGTTGATGTACACTGGAATGGGCGAAGTGCTTCCCTCTCTTGTGTGTTTCTTTTTTGTTGTTGCCCACACGCGGTGCCGGCTCCGCTGCTGTGCGTCCCACGGACTGCAGGAAAGGAGGATTGGAAGAAGAGGCCGGATGCCGCATGAAATGTGAGGGATGTTGTGTGGGCTCGTGAAGCAGTACAATCAGTTTTTATTTTTACTTTAATTCCTTTTTATTGGTGCAGGCAATATGTATGTACAGAAACACAAGGTCGTTTTATTGTGCTGCTTGGCGCATGAAATAAAAATTCTGCCGAATGAAATTTCTTCATTGTTTCCGGGAGCCCTGCCGGACACTCAAATTGTTTTTTGTTTTTTTCCTGCCTTTTTAGCTTTCTGTTTGCGGGGCGGTGTGCGAGTTCTGCAGTCGTACCAATTCCAACTGCCTCATTGTGTGTTTGTTGCTGCTGCTACCATTTGTTACTGTGCGGTGGCGGGGAGTTAGTTTTTGCTGAAGGCTGCACGCAAGTGACAGGAGTGATGATGGCGATGATGACTGGCCGTGTGCTGCTGGTGTGTGCCCTCTGCGTGCTGTGGTGCGGTGCCGGCGGTGTTTATGCGAGGGACCTCGACAACAAGGCACTGGGTGGCTGCATGGCGTCGGGAGTGTTGGGTATGAATGCATCGTATGTGCCGAACGGATGTAATAAATACATGCCGACGCCGCCTTTGCGGTCAGCATTGCCTATCCCTGCCATACAAGCCGAAGTTGGGCAGGTAAGTGTTACTCCTCCAGACTCTGGTTCTGGTGGTGGAGGCGGAGGTTCTCCCGGTGCTCCTCCTGTTCCAGGTGGTGCAGCAGCTCCTTCTGGCCCTGCTGTTCCAGGTGTTCCTGCCGTTCCTAATGCTGGTGACTCTTCTGGAAGTGAAGGTGATTCTCCTCGTCCTGCTGCTGGAGATCTTCATTCTCAGAGTGATGACGCGGTGATCACAAGCAGTGATTTATCCAATACGCATAGTGGATCCAGAGAAGAAGTGCTGCAACAAGAGGAAACAGAGACTCACAACCCCTCACCGTCCAAAGGATTGAAACAGGAGGCACTCCCCGATGTACAGCAGCCACAAACCTCTGCTTCAGAAAATAGTAAAACGGGTTGCGACGCTGAGGCGTCGAATTGCGGAAGTCAAGGAAAGTTGGGAAAGGCAACGATGGAAAAACAGGATTTGGAGGAATCCAAAACACAAGAATCACCACCGACTAAACATAAAGAATCAAATGGCAATGAGGAGAACCCAACAGAAGCATCAAGTACGGAATCTCAGAATACGGAAACCCAACAAGAAATAAAAACGCCAGTGGATGAGAGTGACAGTACGGGCACCGATGCATCCATAGCGGTTGCCGCACAGAGTACATCGGCCGGCAGTCAAGAAGAAGCAACTGAGTCATCTTCCAATGGCAGTCATTCTCCACTTCAGGGGGAAGTATTCACTGGAACAGACACTCCCGAGAATGCTCCATCTCCGGGTGCCGCAGAAACAGAAAAACGCCAAGGAGAAAATGTGACGAAAGATGGCGACAGCGACAGCAGCACCGCGGCTTCCCACACCACCTCCCCTCTTTTGCTTCTTCTTGTTGCGTGTGCGGCTGCTGTGGTGGCCGCGTGAGAGTGAGTGAGAGAGAGCCATGCACCGCCCGCACACACACTCGTCCTTGTCTCTGTGTGTGTCCCCTTGCATGGACTCTCGCCCTCACCTCATCCCACGAAGCACACACATAATGTGCCCATTGTATATATGCATGCACACCCATGCAGGCCCGTTGGTGCTCTCTTTTGCACCACACGCACCGCTGCCGTCCTGCCTGACTGCATGGGCGGAGCACCGTAACTGTTTCTGTTTTGTTTTCCATTGCTTTGAGTGGGCGACCTCTCTCTCTCTCTCTCTCTCTCCCTGTGTGTGTGTTTTGCTTTACGGGAGCAATGAGAGTGTGTGTGCTGGTCGTCCCACGCTTCGGCTTTTTGTTTTGTTTTTCATTGTTTTGTGGTTGAGAGCACCCATTCCGCGGGCTACGTGTGTGTGATGATATGAGTAATTTCCGTGAGTGCTATCCGCTTCTTTTTGCTGTTGTTTTCTTTGGATTTCCTTGTGCCTCACAGCTGCTTTGTAATTATAGGCGCTGACGAACACACAAGCACATGCGCACACGCACACCATGTGGCACACGCTGTGTAGCGGCGAGGCCGCTGGAAGGGCAAGCACAAGGTTGTGGCTGCGGACACTATGGGCCCCTGTGTGTTGGCGCTTGTGGTTGCCTTTGGCCACGCTCATATCCACCGTGTTGAAAGGGCCGGCGTGGTCGTGGGCCGGTGGAGAGAGCAGCGGCGAACACGGTGAATTCCACGCCGTGGACTCACAGTAACCTTTTGGACAGTGGCGGTGCGGAAGAAACGGTCACAATGATCGTTGCAACGCCGTTACGCTTGTTTTCGAGCATCCCGAGAGAAACAGTAAAAATATATTTGCACGCATGAGTCTTCCCATTCCCGCTTCAGGGCTGCCCATCGTGATGAGGTTGCCGTGCGGTGGCGTCACCCCCATGAGCTGCTGGGATAGAAAAGGAGAGCGCTGTGCAAGTGGTGGCTGTTGCGTGGCCGGTCACACAAATACTGCGACACCACGAGGAGAGCAGACCAAACACTCCGCGTGCAGGGAGCGTTGCGGCCGATGAGGAATGCGTGCGACGGTGATGAACGTTTCCTCGACGACGGATTGACGGTTTTTCCCTTTGATGGAGTCGGTGCGCACGCGGTGTGTATGGCCGCCTCTGTGGTCCCCTGTTACTCCGCTGTTTGTGCCGCATCCTGACGCATCACTGGCACTAAACTGTTTCCTGTTTCTCCTCCCTCTTCTTTTTTTTTTTTGCCTCTCCTCCCACAGCCAGGCTGCACTGCTGCTGCTGCTGCTGCTACTCACACGAAACAAAGAAATGCAATTTACTCAAGCCATGTGCCAGCCACGCCACGCCACGCCGCTTCTCCCATTGGTGGTGTTGCTGCTGATGTACTGCGCCACTGGGCGTATTGCCGCTGCTGATCCCGCCACACAATACCGCTGTGGGTTTGACGAGATGATGAGGAGCGGCCCGCTGCCGACTGCGGTGGTGCGTGAGGTGCCGCGCAAGGGACAGGGCGCGATGCAGGCGTACACCGTCGCCACACAGGATGACGACAGTGACTGGAGGCCGATCCGCATTGCGGTTTCCACGGAGGATTTGGAGAAGAAACGTAATAAAAAGAAGACGTTCTGCGAAAAGGCTGGGGAAACATGCGAAACCGTCTTGGGGGAAAAGGTAGACTGCGAAGCAAGAGACATATTTTCGCAGGAAAAGAAACAATTGTACACTGAAAATATTATCCCCGGTGCTGTCAAACTGCACGCTGAGCGGCTACTTGTGAAACCCACTGCTGATAAAATAACGGTTCCGAGGACTCTGAATGAACCGTGTAACCACTTTAATCCTCCTAGTGAGCACATAAGAGACGGTGTGCCTGATGCTGACTTTATCATCTACGCTGCTGCTAGGCCATCAGGTACTAAAAGCAGGGCTGTTTGGGCGGCCACGTGTATCACATGGGATGATTCTCGTCCCTCTATTGGCGCCATGAACTTTGATCCAAATTACATGACTGACACGGCGTGGAGCGTTCGCGTTGCCGCACACGAACTTGCACATGCTCTTGGGTTCAGCCAAAGGAATATGGAAGAAAAGGGCGTGTTGAACTCCGAATACATTGTGCGTGGGAGGAGTCGTTGGATGGTGGCGGGGAATCACGTTAAGGCGAAGACGCGAGCCCACTTTGGTTGTAAAACTCTCGAGGGAATGGAGCTGGAGGACGAAGATGGTGCATCGGCAAGAAAGATCCCTCACTGGAAGGAACGCCACGCGCGGGACGAGCTGATGGCTCCCACAGTCGGTGCCGGCTACTACACGGCTCTGACGATGGCGGTGTTCGCGGATATGGGGTACTACCGCGTGAATTGGAGCATGGCGGAGCCGATGAGCTGGGGCCACCGCAGTGGCTGCGACTTCCTGGAGAAGAAGTGCAGTGAAATGACAGATCTCCCCGCCAGGTATCCTCACATGTTCTGCGATGCTACTGACAATGAGACACTTCGCTGCACCTCTGACCGCCGTCACGTCGGGACGTGCACCGCAAACATCGTTGAAAACAAGGGGTATCCTGCGGAAAAGGACGTTTGCCCTGTTGTTTCTTCGTACTTTCACGAAACATCGTCTGGGACAAAGTACAATGCGTGCTCGGACGTGACTGTGACTTCTCTCCCTGGGTCGCTGACTGGCAGGGACTCGTGGTGCCTGGATGCGGAATTGGTGGAGACGAATGATAACAGCAAACATAAAAGCGTCAGGGGAGTCTGCGCGCAGGTGTCGTGTGAGGGGGGGACAGTGAAGGTGAAGTACCTCGGCAGCAGTGATTTTCAGCCTTGCCCCGAGGACACTCAAATCTCAGTGACATTGAATGGTTCTAAGCAAGATGGGAAGATCAAGTGCCCCACGTACGGCGAGGTGTGCACCATTGCCGCCAACGGCAGCAGTATTGTCATTCCGAGAGCGTTGGAGGATGATAAGCGAGAGGAGCGAGGAGAAGAAGGAGAAGCGGCTGTGGTTGCTCCGGCGTTGTCTCCTGGAGCGGAAGCTCGTACAAAGGCGTCCCCTGCCGATTTGCCTGCTGAGGAGCACTCGTCTGAAGAGAGACCCAGTGAAGAAGCGTCCACTGCTGAAGCGTCCATTGCAGAAGCGTCCATTGCAGAAGCGTCCACTGCAGAAGCGTCCACTACTGAAGCGTCCATTGCTGAAGCGTCCATTGCAGAAGCGTCCACTGCAGAAGCGTCCACTACTGAAGCGTCCATTGCTGAGGCGTCCACTGCAGAAGCGTCCATTGCAGAAGCATCTCCTCCAGGTAAAAATTCTGAAGGTCCAGTAGTGCAAGCGGCATCGAAGCAGCCTCAACAAGAAAGTGAAGCAGAACAAATGACAGCGGTGGAGGCATCTGGCACTACACAGCAAGTGCCGGCGAATTCATCGCAGGGAAGTGTGGGGAGGGCGACGGTTTCGAACATCCCTGCCGTTGGAGAAACAACGGGTGATGGCGGCACTGTGTGTGAGAGCAGGGCGGTGCCGCTGCTTTTCCTGCTGTTGGGACTGTGGGGGTTTGCCGCTCTGTGAGGAGTGACTGGCTGCCGCGTGGGACAATTGCGACCTCCCCTGCACAGAATTAGTTCCCCGGGAAAAATTTTCTCTGACAATTTTTTTGGTGTTTTTTGTGCGTATTTTGAATTCTTTTTTTTTTTCTGCTGCTTCTTTTTTTTCTTTTTTTGTTTTTTTTTTCTTTTGTTTTTTCTGTTTTACTCCACTCTTCCTTCTTTTTTGATTTTGGGGGGCAATCACTATGGACGCTTTTTCCTTTCTACTCTTCCCTCTTTTTAAATTGTTTGTTGCCGCACTCTTCCTGTGAGGGGTGCCGTGTGTTTCCCGCCCAACTGCTCCACTCGCACACCCACCGACACGCTCATGACGGCGGCCCTGTGCGCCTCGCCTGCTGCACGCATGAGGAGGGGCGGCGACGAACGGCGCGCTGAGGGAGCCGTGACGTGTGGGCGTGCGACGAGGGCCTGTGGGGCGGAGCACACATTTCTTTCCCTCTTGTTTTGTTTTATTGCTGCCAGGGCTGGCAGACACTCGCAGCGCCACGCACACAGCCACACCCTGCCGCCGTGCTTTTCTTTTGTTTTTGTTTCTTTTTCTTTGTGGATGGGTGTGTGCCGCCGCGTTTTTAATGGGTTCTGCTTTGCGTGTGCATTTCTTTCCCCTCTGATGATTTTCTTTCTTTTGCTGCGCTCACTCTCCCGATGGAGTGACGCGACTCCCGTCATGTTTTTTCTTGCTTCTCTCAGTCCTACACACACGAGTGACTGTGCGCTGCGGGCCGCACTCACACGCCGATGAAAGGGCTGAGGGGAGCAGCGACACGCGGATGACCCCATGAAATGTAATTGATGTGCGAACATATATGGAGGCCAGACGGTTGAAAGACATGTAAATATTTAAGTTTCTTTGCGGGCAATGTATATACAGACAGTTTGGTGTGGCCACACGGCAGTCAGACGATTTTTTTATTATTTTTAAATTTGGGTGAAGCAGTGATGGACGATTTTTTTAAATATAACTATTTTGTGCGATGGAGTTTATATAAGATGAGGGGGAAAGTTTTTTTTTGTTTTAAATAAATTTTGTCTGGGTTGCCGCTGCCTGGGCTGCAGTGCAGTGATGAGTTTGAGCAGTCTTCTTCATGTTGTTTTCACCATGCAACTCTGCCGTACATGTTTGTGCGTCTCTTCACATGCTCTGCTCCCTTTTTCTACTTCTTTTCTTTATGTTTCTGCAGGCACACACAACCAGACAAACACACACAAGATGCACGTTGCAGTGGATTTGAATGCTTCTTTTGTAGTGCATGCTGGAAGTTGCGTGTGGCGGCTGTTGTCCTCTTCCGTGGCCATGAGCAGAAGGGAGGAGGGAGGGAGTGCGTAGCCGGAGTCCTTTTTCCTGTGGCTGCGTTGGGTTGGGCTCCGTGTTTCACTGAGGACTGGATGGCAGTGTGAATTTTGTAGCCGTGTCATTACTAACTGAGGGTCCGCTTGCGCCGTGTGTGTTGTGTGGTGGCCGCGGGGCTTTCGGCCACCTCCTTGGGGTTGTGGAAATGAACTGGGGGGAGATGGTGGTGGTGGATGCCGTCTCGTGGTGTGTGAACTGTGCTGCTGGGCCTGCTGCCCTCTCTTCATTTTGTCCACTCTCTCTCGCTGTATCCGCTGTGCTCTGTTTCTCTCCCTCTTGTTCCATTCTTTTTCTTCTGTCCCACAGATCAGTTCACTGAATTCAGCAAATATACTACGGGTGATGATGATGACGATGGTGACGGTGCGGCGCCGTGCGGTGTGCGCCGTGTTGTTCCTTGGGCTCTTGTGCTGCTGCTGCTCGTCCGTGTGCGTTACGGCGGCTGGGAGTCCTGGACATGTATCTGGTGATGCGGATACGGTGGTTGTGCCGGTGGATGTGTCGTGTCCTCAGAGTGACGGCAGCCTGAGCTATCGCGTGCGTGGGGGTGTGTGGGCGTGGACGAAGTGTTCTGCTGCCGGTGCTGAGGCTCAGTATGAGAATTATACGTTCAGTGGCTTTGATGTGCGCATGCATAGCCGAAATGGTGAGCTGGGTACTGTGTGTCATGTGGCCAATGCGGTGTACACATCTAACAACTGTGCTGCCAGCTGTGCAACGAAAGGGGAAGGGGTCACCGTTGCCTTCACGATGAATGTGACGACACATGAATACGCCGGCCTTTACGAATTGTGGTGGCGTCAATTTTCTTCCGACGGAACTATTCCTGCGCTTGCCCGGAGCAGCGATGCTGACCAGACGGGCATCTGCCACCCACCACCGCCCCGTGAAGGGAAGGATGAGAGAAAATCCGGTGAGGCAACGGCGCCGCAAGTCAGTGCCGAGCCGTCACGTCAAAACGAGGGTGCGCGACAGTCTGCCGCTGCTGACGCGCCCAACACCGTCGATCAGAGTCCCGCATCCAACACGGAGACCAACACGTCTAGGAAAAAGCCTCGCACTGCAACCGAACCGAACGAAAACGTGGCTCCAACACCGCCCAAGAGGAAGCCTAGCATTGCCATGAGTTGGAACATAGAAATGGATCCGAATGCATTCGTGACGAATACTGCGTCCGCCACCGCGTTGAGGATGGCAGTGGGCTCGAAGGATGCCCGTAGGAGTGAAGCCGTTGACGGCAGCGGCGAGCACGTTCCTGGGGGAATTGCGGGAGGAATGAATGGTCACAACGTCTCCGGAACACCAAAACGGCATCAAGAAATGTGACCCTGCGCGATCTGGAGCGGCGTGAGTCCAGACGGCCGCCTCGCCCTGTTTGACGACGTGAATTTGATACCACGCGATTCAACTGGCGACCGCACTGCGCGTGTGTGCGTGTCTCGGGCGTTGCTGCTGCTGCTGCTGGAACTGTGTGGAGTTGTGGTAGTCCTTCGAGCGAAAGAGGGTGGAATTGTGACTCCCCACGAGGGATATTTGCCGCATACTTTGCGCTTTTCATACCACTGTTTTTTCTCTTCTTTCTTAATGATTTACAGATCGCTTTTTAAACCTTTTTTCTTCTTTGTTACTGTTTTTCCCTTTTTTCTTCTTTGTAATGTTCTTTTTGATGCTTTTTCCTCTGGAGTGATAAGTACCCTTTTTTTCTCCTCATTATTTAATATTCGGTTGATGTACACTGGAATGGGCGAAGTGCTTCCCTCTCTTGTGTGTTTCTTTTTTGTTGTTGCCCACACGCGGTGCCGGCTCCGCTGCTGTGCGTCCCACGGACTGCAGGAAAGGAGGATTGGAAGAAGAGGCCGGATGCCGTGTGAAATGTGAGGGATGTTGTGTGGGCTCGTGAAGCAGTACAATCAGTTTTATTTTTACTTTAATTTCTTTTTATTGGTGCAGGCAATATGTATGTACAGAAACACAAGGTCGATTGATTGTGCTGCTTGGCGCATGAAATAAAAATTCTGCCGAATGAAATTTCTTCATTGTTTCCGGGAGCCCTGCCGGACACTCAAATTGTTTTTTTGTGTTTTTTCCTGCCTTTTTTTAGCTTTCTGTTTGCGGGGCGGTGTGCGAGTTCTGCAGTCGTGCCAATTCCAACTGCCTCATTGTGTGTTTGTTGCTGCTGCTACCATTTGTTACTGTGCGGTGGCGGGGAGTTAGTTTGTGCCGAAGGCTGCACGCAAGTGACAGGAGTGATGATGGCGATGATGACTGGCCGTGTGCTGCTGGTGTGTGCCCTCTGCGTGCTGTGGTGCGGTGCCGGCGGTGTTTATGCGAGGGACCTCGACAACAAGGCACTGGGTGGCTGCATGGCGTCGGGAGTGTTGGGTATGAATACATCGTATGTGCCGAACGGATGTAATAAATACATGCCGACGCCGCCTTTGCGGTCAGCATTGCCTATCCTTGCCATACAAGCCGAAGTTGGGCAGGTAAGTGTTACTCCTCCAGACTCTGGTTCTGGTGGTGGAGGCGGAGGTTCTCCCGGTGCAGCCGCTCCTGTTCCAGGTGGTGCAGCAGCTCCTTCTGGCCCTGCTGTTCCAGGTGTTCCTGCTGTTCCTAATGCTGGTGACTCTGTTCCTGGTCCTGCTGCTGGTGGTGGTCCTCCTGCTGCTCCTGCTACCGATTCTCCTCGTCCTGCTGCTGGAAGGGAAAGTGATTCTCTGGTCCCTTCTTCTCCTAGAGACATTTCTTCTCAGAGTGATGACACGGTGATCACAAGCAGTGATTTATCCAATACGCATAGTGGATCCAGAGAAGAAGTGCTGCAACAAGAGGAAACAGAGACTCACAACCCCTCACCGTCCAAAGGATTGGCACAGGAGGCACTCCCCGATGTACAGCAGCCACAAACCTCTGCTTCAGAAAATAGTAAAACGGGTTGCGACGCTGAGGCGTCGAATTGCGGAAGTCAAGGAAAGTTGGGAAAGGCAACGATGGAAAAACAGGATTTGGAGGAATCCAACACAGCAGAATCACCACCGACTAAACATAAAGAATCAAATGGCAATGAGGAGAACCCAACGGAAGCATCAAGTACGGAATCTCAGAATACGGAAGCCCAACAAGAAATAAAAACGCCAGTGGATGAGAGTGACAGTACGGGCACCGATGCATCCATAGCGGTTGCCGCACAGAGTACATCGGCCGGCAGTCAAGAAGAAGCAACTGAGTCATCTTCCAATGGCAGTCATTCTCCACTTCAGGGGGAAGTATTCACTGGAACAGACACTCCCGAGAATGCTCCATCTCCGGGTGCCGCAGAAACAGAAAAACGCCAAGGAGAAAATGTGACGAAAGATGGCGACAGCGACAGCAGCCCCGCGGCCTCCCACACCACCTCCCCTCTTTTGCTTGTTGTTGCGTGTGCGGCTGCGGTGGTGGCCGCGTGAGAGTGAGTGAGAGAGAGCCGTGCACCGCCCGCACACACACTCGTCTTTCACTCACTCTCTGTGTGTGTCCCCTTGCATGGGCTCTCGCCCTCACCTCATCCCACGAAACACACACATAATGTGCCCATTATATATATGCATGCACACCCATGCAGGCCCGTTGGTGCTCTCTTTTGCACCACACGCACCGCTGCCGTCCTGCCTGGCTGCATGGGCGGAGCACCGTAACTGTTTTTTTGTTTTTTTTTGTTTTTCATTGCTTTGACTGGGCGACCTCTCCCTCTCTCTCTCTCTCCCTGTGTGTGTGTTTTGCTTTACGGGAGCAATGAGAGTGTGTGCGCTGGTCCTCCCACGCTTCTTCTTTTTGTTTTGTTTTATTGTCTTACTTGTGTTGTGGTTGAGTGCACCCATTCCGCGGGCTGCGTGTGTGTGATGATATGAGTAATTTCCGTGAGTGCTATCCGCTTCTTTTTGCTGTTGTTTTCTTTGGATTCCCTTGTGCCTCACAGCTGCTCCGTAAGTATAGGCGCTGACGAACACACAAGCACATGCGCACACGCACACCATTTGGCACACGCTGTGTAGCGGCGTGACCGCTGGAAGGGCAAGCACAAGGTTGTGGCTGCGGACACTATGGGCCCCTGTGTGTTGGCGCTTGTGGTTGCCTTTGGCCACGCTCATATCCACCGTATTGGAAGGGCGGCGTGGTCGTGGGCCGGTGGAGAGAGCAACGGCGAACACGGTGACTTCCACGCCGTGGACTCACAGTAACCTTTTGGACAGTGGCGGTGCGGAAGAAACGGTCATGATCGTTGCCCCGCCGGCACGCTTTTTATTGAGTACCCCGAGGGGAGAGCAGTGAAAGAAGATCCGTCCGCATGACTCTTTGCATCCCCGCTTCAGGGCTGTCCATCGTAATGAGGTTGCCGTGCGGTGGCGTCACCCCTATGAGCTGCTGGGATAGAAAAGGAGAGCGCTGTGCAAGTGGTGGCTGTTGCGTGGCCGGTCACACAAATACTGCGACACCACGAGGAGAGCAGACCAAACACTCCGCGTGCAGGGAGCGTTGCGGCCGATGAGGAATGCGTGCGACGGTGATGGACGTTTCCTCGACGACGGATTGACGGTTTTTCCCTTTGATGGAGTCGGTGCGCACGCGGTGTGTATGGCCGCCTCTGTGGTCTCCTGTTACTCCGCTGTTTGTGCCGCATCCTGACGCATCACTGGCACTAAACTGTTTCCTGTTTCTCCTCCCTCTTCTTTTTTTTTTTTGCCTCTCCTCCCACAGCCAGGCTGCACTGCTGCTGCTGTTGCTGCTACTCACACGAAACAAAGAAATGCAATTTACTCAAGCCATGTGCCAGCCACGCCACGCCACGCCGCTTCTCCCATTGGTGGTGTTGCTGCTGATGTACTGCGCCACTGGGCGTATTGCCGCTGCTGATCCCGCCACACAATACCGCTGTGGGTTTGACGAGATGATGAGGAGGAGCGGCCCGCTGCCGACTGCGGTGGTGCGTGAGGTGCCGCGCAAGGGACAGGGCGCGATGCAGGCGTACACCGTCGCCACACAGGATGACGACAGTGACTGGAGGCCGATCCGCATTGCGGTTTCCACGGAGGATTTGGAGAGCAATAAAAAAAGGAAGAAGATGTTCTGCGAAAAGGCTGGGGAAACATGCGAAACCGTCTTGGGGGAAAAGGTAGACTGCGAAGCAAGACACATATTGTCGAATGAAAAGAAACAACTGTACACTGAAAATATTATCCCCGGTGCTGTCAAACTGCACGCTGAGCGGCTACTTGTGAAACCCACTGCTGATAAAATAACGGTTCCGAGGGGTCTGAATGAACCGTGTAACCACTTTAATCCTCCTAGTGAGCACATAAAAAACGGTGTGTCTGATGCTGACTTTATCATCTACGCTGCTGCTAGGCCATCAGGTACTAAAAGCAGGGCTGTTTGGGCGGCCACGTGTATCACATGGGATGATTCTCGTCCCTCTATTGGCGCCATGAACTTTGATCCGAATTACATGACTGACACGGCGTGGAGCGTTCGCGTTGCCGCACACGAACTTGCACATGCTCTTGGGTTCAGCCAAAGGAATATGGAAGAAAAGGGCGTGTTGAACCCTGAATACATTGTGCGTGGGAGGAGTCGTTGGATGGTGGCGGGGAATCACGTTAAGGCGAAGACGCGAGCCCACTTTGGTTGTAAGACTCTCGAGGGAATGGAGCTGGAGGACGAAGATGGTGCATCGGCAAGAAAGATCCCTCACTGGAAGGAACGCCACGCGTGGGATGAGCTGATGGCTCCCACAGTCGGTGCCGGCTACTACACGGCTCTGACGATGGCGGTGTTCGCGGATATGGGGTACTACCGCGTGAATTGGAGCATGGCGGAGCCGATGAGCTGGGGCCACCGCAGTGGCTGCGACTTCCTGGAGAAGAAGTGCAGTGAAATGACAGATCTCCCCGCCAGGTATCCTCACATGTTCTGCGATGCTAATGACAATGAGACACTTCGCTGCACCTCTGACCGCCGTCACGTCGGGACGTGCACCGCAAACATCGTTGAAAACAAGGGGTATCCTGCGGAAAAGGACGTTTGCCCTGTTGTTTCTTTGTACTTTCACGAAACATCGTCTGGGACAAAGTACAATGCGTGCTCGGACGTGACTGTGACTTCTCTCCCTGGGTCGCTGACTGGCAGGGACTCGTGGTGCCTGGATGCGGAATTGGTGGAGACGAATGATAACAGCAAACATAAAAGCGTCAAGGGAGTGTGCGCGCAGGTGTCGTGTGAGGGGTAAACAGTGAAGGTGAATTACAGTGACAGCAGTGATTTTCAGCCTTGCCCTGAGGGCTCTGTAATCTCAGTGACGTTGAATGGTTTTGAGCAAGATGGAAAGATCAAGTGCCCGAAGTACGTCGAGGTGTGCACCATTGCCGCCAACGGCAGCAGTATTGTCATTCCGAGAGCGTTGGAGGATGATAAGCGGGACGAGCGAGGAGAGGAAGGAGAAGAGTCTGTGGTTGCTCCGGCGTTGTCTCCTGGAGCGGAAGCTCTTACAAAGGCGTCCCCTGCCGATTTGCCTGCTGAGGAGCACTCGTCTGAAGAGGGACCCAGTGAAGAAGCGTCCACTGCTGAAGCATCTCCTCCAGGTAAAAATTCTGAAGGTCCAGTAGTGCAAGCGGCATCGAAGCAGCCTCAACAAGAAAGTGAAGCAGAACAAATGACAGCGGTGGAGGCATCTGCCACTACACAGCAAGTGCCGGCGAATTCATCGCAGGGAAGTGTGGGGAGGACGACGGTTTCGAACATCCCTGCCGTTGGAGAAACAACGGGTGATGGCGGCACCGTGCGTGAGAGGAGGGTGCTGCCGCTGCTTTTCCTGCTGTTGGGACTGTGGGGGTTTGCCGCTCTGTGAGGAGTGACTGGCTGCCGCGTGGGACAATTGCGACCTCCCCTGCACAGAATTAGTTCCCCGGGAAAAAATTTCTCTGACAATTTTTTTGGTGGTTTTTGTGCGTATTTTGAATTCTTTTTTTTTTTCTGCTGCTTCTTTTTTTTTTCTTGTTTAGTTCTTCTTTCTTTTGTTTTTTCTGTTTTACTCCACTCTTTTTTCTTTTTTGATTTTCGGGGGCAATCACTATGGACGCTTTTTCCTTTCTACTCTTCCCTCTTTTTAAATTGTTTGTTGCCGCACTCTTCCTGTGAGGGGTGCCGTGTGTTTCCCGCCCAACTGCTCCACTCGCACACCCACCGACACGCTCATGACGACGGCCCTGTGCGCCTCGCCTGCTGCACGCATGAGGAGGGGCGGCGACGAACGGCGCGCTGAGGGAACCGTGACGTGTGGGCGTGCGACGAGGGCCTGTGGGGCGGAGCACACATTTTTTTTCCTCTTGTTTTGTTTTTTATGCGTCCAGGGCTGGCAGACACCCGCAGCGCCACGCACACAGCCACACCCTGCCGCCGTGCTTTTCTTTTGTTTTTGTTTCTTTTTATTTGTGGATGGGTGTGTGCCGCCGCGTTTTTAATGGGTTTTGCTTTGCGTGTGCATTTCTTTCCTCTCTGATGATTTTCTTTCTTTTGCTGCGCTCACTCTCCCGATGGAGTGACGCGACTCCCGTCATGTTTTTTCTTGCTTCTCTCAGTCCCACACACACGAGTGACTGTGCGCTGCGGGCCGCACTCACACGCCGATGAAATGGCTGAGGGGAGCAGCGACACGCGGATGACCCCGTGAAATGTAATTGATGTGCGAACATATATGGAGGCCAGACGGTTGAAAGACATGTAAATATTTAAGTTTCTTTGCGGGCAATGTATATACAGACAGTTTGGTGTGGCCACACGGCAGTCAGACGATTTTTCTATTATTTTTAAATTTGGGTGAGACAGTGATGGACGATTTTTTTAAATATAACTATTTTGTGCGATGGAGTTTATATAAGACGAAGGGGAACGTTTTTTTTTTTGTTTTAAATAGATTTTGTCTGGGTTGCCGCTGCCTGGGCTGCAGTGCAGTGATGAGTTTGAGCAGTCTTCTTCATGTTGTTTTCACCATGCAACTCTGCTGTACATGTTTGTGCGTCTCTCCACATACTCTGCTCCCTTTTTCTACTTCTTTTCTTTATGTTTCTGCAGGCACACACAAACAGACACACACACACAAGATGCACATTGCAGTGGATTTGAATGCTTCTTTTGTAATGCATGCTGGCAGTTGCGTGTGGCGGCTGTTGTCCTCTTCTGTGGCCATGAGCAGAAGGGAGGAGGGAGGGAGTGCGCAGCCCGAGTCTTTTTTCCTGTGGCTGCGTTGGGTTGGGCTCCGTGTTTCACTGAGGACTGGATGGCAGTGTGAATTTTGTAGCCGCGTCATGGATGGATGAGGGTCCGCTTGCGCCGTGTGTGTTGTGTGGTGGCCGCGGGGCTTTCGGCCACCTCCTTGGGGTTGTGGAAATGAACTGGGGGGGATGGTGGTGGTGGATGCCGTCTCGTGGTGTGTGAACTGTGCTGCTGGGCCTGCTGCCCTCTCTTCTTGTTGTCCACTCTCTCTCGCTGTATCCGCTGTGCTCCGTTTCTCTCCCTCTTGTTCCATTCTTTTTCTTCTGTCCCACAGATCAGTTCACTGAATTCAGCGACTCTACTACGGGTGATGATGATGACGATGATGACGGTGCGGCGCCGTGCGGTGTGCGCCGTGTTGTTCCTTGGGCTCTTGTGCTGCTGCTGCTCGTCCGTGTGCGTTACGGCGGCTGGGAGTCCTGGACATGTATCTGGTGATGCGGATACGGTGGTTGTGCCGGTGGATGTGTCGTGTCCTCAGAGTGACGGCAGCCTGAGCTATCGCGTGCGTGGGGGTGTGTGGGCGTGGACGAAGTGTTCTGCTGCCGGTGCTGAGGCTCAGTATGAGAATTATACGTTCAGTGGCTTTGATGTGCGCATGCATAGCCGAAATGGTGAGCTGGGTACTGTGTGTCATGTGGCCAATGCGGTGTACACATCTAACAACTGTACTGCCAGCTGTGCAACGAAGGAGGAAGGGGTCACCGTTGCCTTCACGATGAATGTGACGACACATAAATACGCCGGCCTTTATGAATTGTGGAAGAATCAATTTTCTTCCGATGGAACCATCCATCCGCCTGCACGGAGCAGCGATGCTGACCAGACGGGCATCTGCCACCCACCACCGCCCCGTGAAGGGAAGGATGAGAGAAAATCCGGTGAGGCAACGGCGCCGCAAGTCAGTGCCGAGCCGTCACGTCAAAACGAGGGTGCGCGACACTCTGCCGCGGCTGACGCACCCAACACCGTCGATCCGAGTCCCGCATCCAACACGGAGACCACCATGTCCGAGACGAACCCCAAAGACACCGACGATAATGAAAAACACAGTGTTGAAGAGGACGGTGTTTCCGGAGAAGGCAAGGAAGCCTTTGTGTCCCCAGCCGAAGAAGAAAACAGCGAGCATGATGCGGACGATGTGGATGAAAAAACGAGCGTGCACGATGCGGACGATGTGGACGAAAGAACGAGCGTGCACGATGCGGACGATGCGGACGGCAGCGACATCATCGCCGTGTGTGTGCGTACACCACTGCTGCTGCTGCTTCTACTGCTGGTGACTGCCTTTGCCTCTGCCACTGCGTGCTGAGGTGTGAGCGTTCTGGCGGGGCAGCTCGTACCGAGTGTGTGTACGCGGACTGTACTCGCCGCCCCTGTGGAGGAGCCTCCCAACAGCTCTGAGGGGCGTTCCCTATGTGTGTGTGCTTTTTTCTTTTTTATATGTATGATTTCCTTTTTTATATATTCAATTTCTTTTTGCGAGTGTTTCTTTTTAACTTGACTATATGTTGTTCTTGCTTCATTCTTGTTTAACTCTTGCATTATTTTTCCCCTCTGCCATTCTTTGCGCCTTTCTGCGAGCAAATTTCTTCTTTCTCTTGTTGTTTTTTTCTTCAATAAAACGTGGTGCAGGTCTCGTCATTTTGCCTCTTGTGTGTTACCCGAGCGAGAGACGAGGCCCAGGGCACCGGAATGTGTGGGCATGAGTGTGGCCGGTCAATCGTTTGTTCGTTTTTTATGCCACAAAAATGCTCACGCCGTCGAAGAAAAACGCGCCCTGCTGAAATTACTTTTTGGGGGAGTCTTGCGGGACTTTCCCACCGGGAATCTTTTTTTTTTTTTTTTTTTTTTTCTTTTCTTTCCTTTTTTTTTTTTTTTTTTTTTTACTCTTATCGCTGGTGTTCTTGACAGAAAAAAAAAAAAGGGGAGGGTGGAGGCTGTTCACTACCGCATACCTTTTATTTTTCTTATTTTTCTTTTTTTTTTTTTGGTGGTGGGAGTATTTTGGGGCCGGAACTCAACAACAAAAAGAAGAAGGAGGGGTGCGGAAAGCAAAAAGAAATCACAGAAAACACATCAAGTCAACAAGGGCGACTAGGAAGAAGTGACGGAAGGAGGAATAGTGAGACAGAGAGAGAGAGAGAGAGAGAGTGTGTGTGTGTGTGTGTGTGTGTGATTGTTGGACAGTTCAGCAGCTTCTCATTCAATGTCATACTCGAAGAGCAGTGAACTTTTGTTTAAAGTGCTCATCATTGGTGAGGGAGGCACGGGGAAAACGTGTCTGATTCGTCGATATGTGCACGGCATTTTTCTAGCCACAAATAAGGCCACAATTGGTGTGGATTTTGCCTTAAAGGACGTTGTACATGCCGCAACAAACCGCAACATTACACTGCAGCTTTGGGATATTGCGGGGCAGGAACGGTATGGCCAAATGACACGAGTGTATTATCAAGCAGCCGCTGGGGCTATCATCGTTGCCGACATTACACGACCGGAGACACTTGACCTGGCGGTGAAGTGGAAGCAAGATGTAGACAGCAAAGTCTTTCTCGGTTCCTCCGGCAAATCTATCCCATGTATCCTGCTTATTAACAAAGTGGACCTGCTCCCACACGGTGTGCTGGCGGCTTCGGTTGCAGAAGACGGTACGGGTCACCCTGGTTTTGCTGATGAAAGGGGTATTCAGAAAACAAAGGAAGAGATGAATGCCTTCTGCACGGAACATGGATTTGAGGCGTGGTTTGTAACCAGCGCAAAGGAAAACAAAAACGTGGATGTTGCCTTTCAAAAACTGGTGGATTGTGTTCTGAAGGCAACGGATGCCTTAGGCGGCACTGAGACCGCGCAGGAGGCGGCAAAAGAAAAGAACACTAGTGGAAAAGTTCTCCACGGTAACCGGACGAGACGGGAAGAAAAGTCGGGCTGCTCCTGTTAATCGTGAAGGACACCGACACCAATGATGCTGTAAAAAAAAAAAAAAAAAGGAAAAGAAAGAAGTGAAGAAGAGGGAGAAATTCCTTTTTTTTTTTTTTTTTTCCTCCTCCAACCCCGCAACACACACACACAAAAACATGCACAAACACACAAAAGAAAAAAAACGGCATTTTGATGCGTAAAGTGGAAAGATAGGCGTGAGGAGTTTTTTTTTTTTTTTTTAATTACGCCTCTCCCCTGCTGCACTTGTCTGTGGAAGCCATGCAATCCTATTCTGTGTGTCTCCCAGGGGATGTTCTTATGTATTATTTTACAATGATGATGCCTTCTCGTGCTGAGCGGGGAGGGAAAAACAAGGAATAATGGAAATCAGGGGAAATGGATATGAACTGCGCAACGTCCAAAAGTCATGTGAAGGAGTACGTACTCATTGTGTGTGTGTGTGTGTGTCAGTGTGTCGGTGTTAGGGCACTGAAGCGAAGCGGGGACAACAACAAAAGGGAAAATTAAAATAAGTAGAAAAACACGGAAGAAGAAGGAAGAAAGGAAGAAAGGAAGGAAGGAAGGGGGAAAGGGGAAAGGTGGGAAATATATATATATATATATAAGAAAAAAAAAAAAGGGAAAAACAAAGTGATAGATGGATGAGGATTATTTCATGAAGCAGCAGAAATGAAATATGGAATGTGTGTTATGTTGTCGTTCTTTTAATTCTGTCCGTTTACTTCCTTTCCTTTCCTTTTTTTTTTTTTTTCTTTCTTTCCTATTTACGCATATGTCCATGCATGCACGGATACATACTTGCCTAAATCACTGCTAGCGGGTATCCCTCATGTATTTATGACACATTTTAGGGGGAAAAAAAAAAAGATTTCCTTTTTTTCTTCTTTCTTTGTGTGTGTGTGTGTGTGTGTGTGTGCTGCGTGGGTTTACACCTTGTCTTTGCTCTTTGTTTTGTTGTTGTTGTTGTTGTTGTTGTTGTTTTTATTTGTATTTATTGTTTTACGTTTATTTTAAATACGCAGCCTACCCCTCCCTAACCTTCCACCCCCTTTGGGGTGGTTTCGTAAAACAGTCGTACAAATGCGGATGTGTGTGTGTGTGTGTGTGTGTGCGAGCACAAGTTGTCTTATTTGTTTTTTTGCTTAAAATATATATAATATATAAGCAAGTTGCATTTCTCCTCTTTTTTCCTTTTTTTTTTTTTTTTTCTTTCTTCTTCTGATTCCATTTTTCATTCTTTTTATGCGAATCCGTGTATATGTACATGTGGGATCTTACTGTTGGTTTGGGTTATATGCAAATGACGCGTATACACGGGGGGTCTTATGTGAGTTTTCCCTTCTTCTTCTTCTTCTTCTTTTTCTTCTTCTGTAAATTTTAATGACTTTACACACGCGGAAAAAAAAAAAAAAAAGGGATTATATTTTAGACATAAAAATAAATATATTTATTTTTATTTTTATTTTTATTTTTGCTGCTGTGGTCGCAGTCCCATCCACCCGCTTGTATCCGTCACGGTATTTAAAGAAGAAAAAAAGAAAAAAAGAAAAAAATGCGACGCATGTCTCCTGTTATTTTGGGGGTGCGTGTTGCCTCTTTTGCCACGACGTCAGTGGCGCTTCTGCAGGCCAGGGCTGGCGGGGGCCTCACAGACGAGGAGCAGCGGGAGCTGGAGGAGGAAGAGTTTCGCGTCATGGATGCGGCACGTGAGGAGGCTGAACTTCTCCCTATCGTCCATCGACTTGCTGCGAAAGCGGATGCGTTGGATGCCGAGCTTCGTCGTCTGTCGTACGTTTTATTTGAAAAGCCACAACTTGTCATGGACACGCGTTCCGCGACGTTGACAGGACGTCCTACGAACATTCTTACAGTGATGCGGCGGTACAATGCAGGCAGTAGGCATACTAGTTGCCCAGCGGGGTGGGTAAAACCATTGGGTTCTTCCTCATGGATTGTTCAGGCATACAAGGGGGTGCATTCTGCCGGGATGCGTCTTTGTGGCCGCGCAAAGCAAGAGGAATCGAAGCGGCCGGATCAACTTGTGACTTTGACAGGAGATTTGGACTACATTCGCCGAATGAAACATCTCCACGCATTGAATTTTTACAGTCGAATGAATTTAACGCCAAAGCGTCACATTGGGTTTTCTCTTTATGCACTCCTGTGGAATGTGGTGGTTGCGGTGCAGAATGCGCTGGGTTGTGTCATTTTCGGTGCGATGCGTGGCGTGCGTGACGACGAAGCGTGTGTTGGCATCATCAAAGGAACCGCCATTGGTATTCTTCGTGCCTTGCAGTTCCTTGCATACGGTCTTTTAGTTTCCCCATGCATTCACATCCCATGTGGACTCTGCAACAGTCTTTACGGTGTATGGAATGCGGTGTCGGGAACACTTTTCTTTGAAGTGAGTGCAGGACGATGGCAGTACTCCACCGCCTTGGATGCCACGTGGCTGCGTCACGATATCCAGTTGGAGCAGCGTGCAATTCGCGGCGTTGGTCGTTTGGAGTTTCGCCGAAAGAACATGAGGGCTGAAGAAAGATGGCAACAACGTCTTGCCTCCATGGGATTTTCGTTTGACAAAATCAATCAAAAGATGAGGCGAACGGGAGACACACGGCGTCCATCGTCCGCTGCATGGAAGGAATGGGAACATGCGGAAAGGGGTGGGGCGGAGGAGGACCCGTACGAAGTGCTTCAAGTGAAACGAACCGCCACACAGGCACAAATTAAGGCACAGTACAAAAATCTGGCGAAAGTCTTTCACCCGGATGTGGTGCAAAGCCGTCATGGTGGACCGCTTAGTGAAGAGGAGCGACGTGACGCCCAACGGAGATTTGAAAACATCTCACAGGCGTACCAAATTTTATCTAACCCCGAAAAACGCAAGTCGTTCGATCTTGGCGGGGCACAAGCATTACGGTTACATGAAAGTAAAATGGGACGTTTTATGTCACGTACCCCGGAGGAAATGATTCAGAGTGTCTTTGGTGGGGAACCATTTCGAGAAAAGATACTCGGCTCTCTGCTACGGTCGCATTGGCATTTGCGGAACGAGGCGCAGGTAAGTGTTTCTTTGCATGAGTTTGAAGAATTACAGTGTCTGCGTTGCCGTGAGCTGACGGCGGAATTGGCGCAGATTCTTGATGTGCACGCCAACTCTCTACCAGCAACAGGGTACCAGCCACGGGGCGGTGGGCACGGTCGGAGTGAAGTGCTGCACAGCTTGCTAAGCGAACTGGGCGGCAGCACGCCAAAGCCAAAATCACGTACATCATCGCAGCGCAGCGCGAAAAATAATGCGACGACGGAGTCCATGTTCGACTTAACTCCCGGAAGTAATGAGTACAACTGTTTCTCAAGAGATTTTGAAGAGCGTTGTGAGAGATTTACTCGACGCCTGTCCGAGGCGTGTTTTGGTCGGGAGTTGATGTATGAGGCGGGGCAGTCTTATGTCATCTCCAGCCAACGCTTTCTCGGGATTCGCCCGTTCTACGCTCCCAAGTTGCACGTGTACAAGAAAATTTTTTCTGGTGTAGACCGTGTGTACGCGGCGTTCCGGGAGAAGATTGATGACCGTGCCAAAAATAATAAAGAGTGGCTTGCGCAGAAGGTGATGATTGAATATTTTAGCATGGAGTTTGACGCCGTGGTGGCTGATGTGAGCGTTATTCTGCGTTACGCAGCACAAAATGTATTGCAGGACGTTACATTGAACGAGGAGCAGCGTAGGCGTCGGTGTTATGCCCTTTGGTATCTGGGTGAGCAGATGGTGCGAAAGGGAGCACCATGGGTTGCCATGTCACGGGACGATGCGGAGTTGATGGCGTACTTGCAGCAGGCCGCCAACTCCGCCTCTACGACGAGTAAACCGGAGCCGTTTTGATGAACACAACACGCTGGCGATCATATATTTTTTTTTCTGTTTCTGTGTGTGTCTGTGTGTGTGTGTGTGTGGGAGTCCTATCATGTGGTGGATGAAGTGAGGGAAGAATGGCGGTGAGTTCACAGAGAGAAAAGAAATATGGTGCGAGAAGAGTGGGTATTGTTGGTGTCATTTACTTCTTTTTTTACTTTTTTTGTTTGTTTGTTTGTTATTTCTTGCAGTGTTGATTATTATTATTATTATTCCCCATTTACTCTGGAAAGGGCGAAAGGAGAAGGATAATATATTTGAGCCTCCTTCCACCCTCCACTCACAATCCTAAAGGACCCGGAGAGGGTAACGAGAAGGAGTGTTTGGGTTGTGGTGTTCTCTCAATTCAGTATGATTTGAATCCATGTGAACATCATCTCTTTTTTTTTTTTTTTTTTCTTCTCCCTAATTTTTATTTTACTTTCTTTTTAAACACGCATAGACGGAAGGAACGTATATATACATATACATACATATACTTTTGTGTTTGTTTGTTTGTTTTTTGTTTTTTTTTTGTCTTGTTGTTGCTTCTCCTCCCTCAGTCAGTAGTTCACAAGTAGTAGAAACAACAGCAACACACACAAAAAAAAAAAAAAGGAGGGAAAAGAGAAGGGGGAATTTTGAAGGGAATTTTCCCTTTTTTTTTTTTTTCTTTTTTTTTTTTAACTTTTGTTGTGATTGTTGTTGTGGTGGTGTTTGTGTGTTTGTAGGTTTGTTGCTTCTGTTTCCTGTGTGTTCCGCCATGATGGAGTTTGACCTGCTTGACGACGCGGAGGAGATCCTGCAACCGCTGTGCCTCTGCCTCAACCAAGACTCCTCGCGTGTTGGTGTGGGCCACCACAAGGGCTACGTCATCTACCGCATTTATCGCCGCCCCGCTCCTGCGGGAACGGAGGAGGCATCGTCGTCGTCGGCCGCGGCATCATCCACCGGACCGCCATTTTACACGACGATTGAGGCGGTTTTTCCGCCAAGGCGCGGCACGCAATGTTCGACACCGTCAACGTGGGACGTACATGAAGGTGCCCCATCGCCACACGCCGCCGCCTCCTCGACAGTGGGGACAAGCCGAGTGCGTAGAATGTCCGGCGACCAGCGTGACGAGGTTGACCACGACACTCTGCTGGACGCCCTCGCACACAGTCCGTCATTGCAGCGCATGGGCAAACCTTTTGAGAGCAGGGAAAAGGAAGAAAATCAGGTGACGCTTGAAGGGACTTCTGTAAACTCCAAACCTGTGGGAACTTCTGCGACAACTTTGGCGTCGACACTCCTCGGTCAGAACTTTTTACGGTGGACGGAGGAAAAAAGAGATGCACCGTTGCCCACAGAAACAGGTGTGGGTGCGATGGCGCTGTTGTACAAGACGCAGTTTGTTGCTGCTGTCGGTGGTGGGCCGTACCCTGTTGGGCCTAAAAATGTCGTCAAGATATTTCTTACGGGTGATATGTGGGCTGATCGTGAGATATGCGTGCCGGACCCGGTGGAAGAACTGCGGTTGGATCATCGATTGGTTATCATCCTCACCACCAGGGAAATGCGCCTGCATAGCTTTGAGACGGAACTATGTATCTTTTCCGTGCCGCTGTGGGCAGACACTGTCCCCACCTCCCGCCCGTCTACCTCCACCTCACCCCTGTTCTCCGCGAGTGTTTCTTTAAACTCTACAAGGTTGCAGCAGCTTAATCTTGGCGCTTCTGTTACGGCGGCTTCGGCTGCGTCTGCGACACGTTTTGTTGCACCGCTTGCCATTGACTATAGCAAAAAATGTATTGCCTTCCGCAATGCAATGGTGGGGTTTAGTCTGGTGCGCTACGATGCGGAGGCGTCATTATGTAATAGGGTGAATGCAGAGTTGCTATCGACAGTTTCCGTTGCCCACGAACACGCACTCAGCTCTCTGGCAATGGATCTCAACGGTGACATTAGGAGCAGCGGCAGCAACACCGCTTATGGATCTATGCGTTGGCATATTGCAACCTGCAGTGAGCGTGGGACAATTATACGGGTTTGGCGATACTATGAAAGAAGAAGAGGTGAATCGCCAGGTACGGTAGATACAACCGCTTCGTCCGCTCCGCATTCTTCCGATGTGGCGGTTAAGAGCACAATTGCTGAGGAAGATAGTAGCAGGACACTTCCTGGATATTTTGTGAGGGTGAGGGAAGTAAGAAATGCATCGTTACCAACGCCCATCTTTCAAATGCGCTTTCTTGGTGAGGCCTTTCTTTTCTGCATAGCGTGGAACACGTTGAAGATCTTTTTTGTGGGTGAGCAGGAGCAGCCAAAGCCGTACGACATCAGTACGAAGGATCCAAGTAAGACCGTTATTACACAAAACAGCTACTCCTCCCTACATCATCTCAGTGTGGTTTCCGCGTATTTTAATTCCGAATGGGCCGCCTGTGAGTGTCCACTCCCGCTGACGGACGATTTGTTTCTCCCCAAGTGGGTGAACACGACGTCTGGGGAATTGCGACAGCATCTGTTGCGTGGCATGGGTTCCAGCTCTCGAATGACGGTGAATGGCAACGGTGTAGAAGGTGAGACGTCTAGGGTTTCTGCCGATCCAGAAATCCCTGCACCTGTCTCCTTGCTTAACGACATCCAAGTGTCTCAGTCAAGATCCCAAAGCTCTCTGGTGAGCACAGTTCCTGCACGGAGCAAGTCGCAGGATTTTGGCGGCATTCTTCGCCGGTATGTTTTACAGATGGCACCAATGGTAGAGAGTGCGGGTCGGGTTGCCAGGAATTACTGGGGATTTGGTGGAGAGAGCACGGAAGCGGCAAGAAGTGGCGTGAATGAAGTGACCAACGACTATTCACAAAAACGGGACTATACCACGATGACTGAAGTCGCTCAATCGGTGGTAGTTTGGTGGGAACAGCCAACATATTGGCAGGTGGAATATATGACAAAGTCTTTGTCACGTCTCAGCACCACCACCACCACTACCACTACTAATATTACCACCACCGGTGAGGTATTTCCCAATCGCACCAAGTGCCCTCGACCAACAGTGTTGTACTGTGTCACATGTGACGGTAGTGCTATCAGCTTTGAATTCGATCCTGTCAAAGGCACAATTGAATGCAGCAAAGCTACGGCAGTGAGTTCACTTGAGAATTGAGTGTAGATATAACAGTATATTATGTGTTAGAGATCAAAAGAAAAAAGGAATAAGACAAAAAAAAAAAGGAAAAATAAAAAGAAAAAGAGCAATGCAGTCGTATTTCTTTTTGGTGTAATGAGTGGAAGCCTTTTCTGCACCTTATGCTTTTTCAGTTTGCCGGTAGCTATATTTACATTATATAATTTTTATGCGTCACTTTTTGCTGATAAAATTATCTTGACCACACATAAATCGTTGGAAGTGACGTGTTGACATATATATATATATATATATACATGTGTTTGTAAGGCCTCTGGGTTGTTGTGCCCCATGCAAACACGCATCCATATACACATATGGACAGATATGTATATTTTTCTTTTTTCGTCCTATTCAGTATTATGGATGGAATTACGAAGTGTGTAAGAAATAGTTGAACGATGCGATGGAAAAACACAACAACAACAACAAAAGAAAAAAAAAGGGGTCAGTAAAGGTTGCATTGAATGTTTTTGGAGAATTTTTGATGTTTTGTTTTTGTTGAATGCAACTGTATGCTTTTGTTGTTGTTAGTTTCTTCTTTGAGTATATATGTATGTATATATATACATACATTTATTTTAATGGGTACTTTAATTTTCCCGTCTTCTTGGACTTGCCAAAGTTGACGGTAGTGGTGGGCCTGCAGAGGTGGTTAAACTCATGCAGGAACGACAAAGAGGAAAGAGAGAGAGAGAGAGAGAGAGAGACGACATGTGACGAAACGTGCCTCACATTAAAATGACCGATTTGTGTGGTGTGCGTTACCTTTGCTTTTGTTCTTTCTCTCTCTTTTCTTTTTTTTTTTTTTTCTGTGTGTGTGTGTGTGTGTGTGTGTGTATAATATCTACTCGATGCTCACACACTTGGCCGCGGCATGATTTCCCGCTGCGTATTGTTTGTTTGTTTGTTGTTTGTTGTTGTTGGTTTTTGTTTTTTATTTCTGTGTGCATGCAGGGAGCGGGGAGGGAAGAAGGTCGGGTTGGTGGAAGGACGATGACCGACGTTGTGGAGGCGCCTCGACCCGCGACGGTCGCTGAGGCCTTTGCAAATACCGCGAAGGCATTGGAGCAGTTCAACATTGAGCGAATACGTGTGGAGGGACTCAGCAGCACGCATTGCTGGAAACACGATAAGAACGACATGGAAAAGGAGGAGGACGTTCGAACGCTCACGGAACAGGCATTTATGCGGGAATTTGTCTTTCAGTCCCGACCGTGTGTCATTGTTGGGGCACTGGAGGACTGGCCTGCCATGCAGCGCTGGCGTGATGACAGGTATCTTTTTGACTTGGATGGACACTTGTCAGGTGTGCGCAGGGAAACAGATGACGCTGCCGCCCCGTCCAGTGAAGAAACGGCAGCAACGGGTGATGTGGCGGTTGTGCCCAAGAACAATGATCATGACTCGTCTGACGACAGCACCCACCCGCGTGAGCGTGAAGAGGAGAAGGACGGCTTGAAGCGAGTGACGGTCGCACTGACGCCGAATGGCCGCGCCGATGCAGTAACGTATGTGACGTATCAAGGCGCCCGAGAGGAGGGAAGAGAAAATGATGCCGATGGAGAGAAGGATAATGTGGAGGAGCATTTTATAAAGACGGAAAAATTATTTATGGCTGCCGCAGAGATTCGTGCAACGTTGCCAGAGTTGTACCATCTTCTCCGCGAGAATCCACTTTACCCGCCGGTGCGGCCGGTTTTTGTCGACCTGCGCCGCCCTGCACCGGTTGTTGCCTACGCACAGATGCAAAACAACTGTTTGGAGGTGGAGTATCAGCACCTCCACGGCGACATTCGCCCGGAGCTTGATCGATTTGGTGAGCGCGTTTTTGGCGAACCGCATGAGGCGGCAAACGTGTGGTTTGGCACCCCTGCCTCTGTGTCGTCGATGCACCAGGACTGGGTGGAGAACTTGTATGCGGTGGTACGTGGCGTGAAGGAATTTATACTCATCCCGCCTTGGGAAGGTGTGTTTGTGCCAAAACCCGAACTGCCCTCCGCGGCGTTTTCTGTCCAGCGACAGGACGGCGTGAATGGCTATGTCTTTTCTGGTACACCCGTACATGATGGCTTGACGATACCATGGATGGATGTGGAGTTTACACCGGCCGCACTGGAGGATGTATCGCTCATGCCAACAAACATGCAGGAGCGGTTGCATCCACTTGTGGTTTACGTGCAGCCAGGGGAAGTGCTTTATCTTCCCGCCATGTGGCTGCACCGCGTGGCGCAGCACGCCGATGATACCGATCGTCTTGCAAGGGAAACGCAGTTGACATCATCATTGCAAAGTACACAGGATCCACCACTGCCTTTGATTGCGGCGGTAAATTATTGGTATGATATGAGCTTTACAAATCCTGCTGTTGTCATGTTGCGTGAATTCGGTTTACTGTTGTGAAGAAAGTAAAAAAAGAGGGCTGATTAAAGGAAAGAAGGAAAAGACGGAGTTGGTGGCCATTCTCGTTTAAACAAAAAAAAGAACTAAAGACGCTTCTTGTTGTGTTATCTCCTTCCTATAAATGGGGAGGGTGAATATACATAAAGGGGGCTTCTGTAGATAACACTACGACACCACAACATGCAGATGTTGATTTATCGTTTGTGTGTGTGTAGTGACGGTATGACAGTCTTTCCCTTCTCTCGCTCCGTCTTTCACCTTGACTGATCAACAAAGCGTCACGAAAAGGAAAGGAAGGGGAAAATAAAGACTTCACTACCCGTGCGTGGAGAAGGGAACGGTGCATTGAAAGACAAGGGAACAAGAACTAAACATTGGGGTGTGTTGAAAGAAGAAGAAATAAAGAAATAAAATTGTTCATTTAACATATTTATTTATTTATTTATTATTTTCTTTAGTTGTTAAGAAAAAGGTAAATAAAAGCGTATTTCTACTTGCCGCGGCAGCTGAGGGAAAGAACGGCAGGGCGACATACGGGACAGACTTAACCGGCACGGGGACCACAATGACAGAACGTTCCCTCATGATCCGCCACGCTGCGACAGGGCGTTACTTTGCCGTCGGCATGGACTTTCCGAGCGCAAGGGTATTTGACGTGGCGACGGGCTCATTGGCGGCGGTGGTGGAGGTGCCACCACGGAGCCGCACTTCTCTCGCAGTGGTGTCGCTGACGGCATTGGCGTTGGGCGAAATTAATGAGCCTCATGCAGCGGAGGAACAGAGGAAGGCGATGGATGTGGTGGGCATGTCAGGCGCTTGCCACGCGGCGGTGGGTTTGAGCAATGGAACGGTGTTGCTGCACAACGTGCCGAAGGACGAGCTTTTGCAACACCTCGCTGTGTCGGCCACGCAACAGGCAATTACGGCGGCTGCCTTCTGCGGTCGCCATTTGTTTTGCGTTGCGGGGAATCGGTCGCTTTGCGTAGTAGATTGTCTGCGTGGTGAGCGTGTGGGGTCTCACCTAAGGGTGCAGCAAGACGCCGGGGCCATTGCCGTCATGAGGTGCAGAGAGGACGATGCTGAGAAAGGAGCTTCTGATGTGGGATGTAAATTTCTTATTTTTGTCTCGGGACCCACCAACGCCGTGTACACACTTTGTCTCGGTAACGAGGCGGCCCAAAACACAGTAGCGACAATGGAACGGTTGGTGTCTTTTTCGTCACAGGCCTCCCGCTCAGACTTTGCGTGGATGGGCGGCACGACGCAGCATCCCATTGTTGTTACCGCCAGCGCCCAGGAGGGTGTTGTGCGGGTGTGGGATGCGTACCCCAGCGTCAGCGGTCAAACGACGTCCTCACGCTGCCGCCGCAGCCTCCTCTGTGGCCAGCGCATTCTGGGCATCTCCGTATATGATCCCACAACTATGAATAGCAGCGCCAATGGCTATCGCAACGGCGTTGGGGGGAGTGAGGCCTTTGTGGCCGCCACGAACTTCACCGGAGCGGTGCTCGTGTGGAATCTTGGAAGCGCTTTGTTAACACCCGTGGCAGATCCAGTTCCGACGCCGCCAACGCTCCGCATTGTCTCAAAGGAGATCTCCGCACGAGTCCTCTTTGGAGCCTTTATCCAGGGAGCCGCGGGGGAGCATCCATCCTTGCTGGTGTTGCGAGGCCGCTTTGCGGTGCCACATTTTGAGTCGGTAGACCTACGCGAGGCCGCGCAGCGGGCGTCAATAGTGTCATCCACGACCCCCGCAACGTCGTCATTGGCCGAAGAGGGTGCTGTCTACGAGTTGCCAACAGGGCCCAACTCCGAGAGGGCAGGGAGGATCGACGCGGTGCATGCCGACATGGAGGTGCTAGACCACGCCTGGGCCACGCACTGTCTTCAACAGCAGCGGCAGCAACGCCTCGCTGCCCGTGCCATTTACACGCCCTCGGAAGGTTTTGTCTCGCCGGTGTCGTTTCACGCAGCTAGTGTAAAGGACATCCCGCAGAACAAGCTGACACTGGAGCAGCGCCTGAAGAAACTCTCGCTTTCATCTGCAACACCGTCGCAACAACAACAACAGGAGCACTCACACGCTCTGGGGCTCGCGACGGTTCCCTTGTATCAGGCGCTTCACGCCAGTGACGCATCAGCGGTGATGGAGCTTCTCACCGTTGCTTCGCGGTCTGCGGAGGACATCCGAGCGACTGTGATGGGTCTTCAACTGCCGTACTGTCTGGAGCTAATGCAGATTATTGCGCAGCGCGTGCGTGGGGCAACCTCCCGCTCACCCCTATTTGTTTGGATAGACGCCATTGTTCACTACCGCGGAGTGGAGATGTACCAGGCTCAGCAGTTATTCAAGCAGCAGCGGCATCAAGAAGAAAAGAAGAAGAGCGCATCATCGAGCATTTACAGCAATGGAGTAAATGACCCTCTGTTGCCAACGTCAACAACAGCAGCATCGTCAAAGGCAAAGCCTTCACCACCAAAGGAATTTGTTGCGCCACTGTTGCATCAATATAGGAACATGACGGCTCTGTACGACCCTCTTGCGGCGATGTACGGTCGGCTTTCCATCTTCAAGTCCGTCCGTCCATCGGAGAAGGGTGTGTTTGTGAATTCCGACGCAGGTATCATTTTTCCGACGATGTTCACGGAGATTCGCTGCGCCGGTGGCGAGTATCGAACAATGCGAGTGCGGAGCAAGCGTGATCCCCATGCAAGGAAGAATAAAAAGAGAAGTGCTGTGGCTTTTCTTCGAAAAGCACGTCGCCTGGCGGCTGCCGAAGAGGCGGGGGCGGCAGCAGAAGCAAAGGGAACTTCTGAGGACAATGTGGAGGAAGACTATGATGATGAAATTGACATGAACGCTTTGGATCAAATGCGTCTGGGAGATGACACCGACGGAGAGGAGGAAGAGGAAGAAGGAGAGAGTGATGCGGACAAAGGCCCCGGCAAGCGCGCACGCGGGGAGCAAACAGAAATGATTGCAGAGGCGGAACGCGGCTCATCGTACGGCATTGAGTCCTCCACACGCAGCAGTGAGGTGGAGTTTGACACGGCGAGCGACGACGATGTCCACTCCGCAGCTGCCGAAAATGACGACGATGAGGAAGACGATGACGAGGAGAGTAGCAGCAGCATTAGTAGTGGTGTCGCCACCGCTGACATGTTTGACGACGAGGAATACGAAGACGACGACGACGATGATGGCGATGACAATGACGGAATGGGCGATGACATGGCTGAGCTGCTAGAGGTGCAAGGCGAGGACAAAGAGCGCGAGGGGCGGCGGCACAAGCGAGTAAGGACAGAACACTAAGACTCAACTCACTGCATGGAGCGCATTACATGGGTGCATGCATGCGTAGCCGTGTACTGAGGAAGAGAGGAGGGTGGAATATATATATATATATATATATATATATATATTTATTTATTTATTTCTAAATGAAGAATAAAGGCAAAAAAGAACAAGAAAAGAAAAGGGAATTGAAGGCAAATCACGCCACGCACTTAAATGCGCATGTGGGGGGAAAGAAAGAGAGAGAAAGAGAAAAAGAGGGGATTCTCTGCTGTCCCTTTTGAAATGCGTGCCACAGGAGGTGTTGCCACATAAGCGATTAATCGTGCAAGTCAATAAAAAGAGAGAGAGAAAAAAAAAATTTATAATAAATTGAAACGTTCTGCCGGCCACATGATGTGGATTTAATGCTCTTCAGCCGTGTTTTTTTTTTTCCTTTTTCTTTTTCCCCTCTTTTGACTGCCACACGTTGATACATCTATGCAGGCACCTGTTTGTTGGATGAATGCATGGTGTTTTTTTTTTTTTAATACGTTGCTCTTTTTCCCTTTTTTTTTTCTTTTTTATGTTTATTTCCCTTTAGGGGAAGAAAATTTTATTTTGTGCGTTTTTGCTACCGTTGTGCGTCTCAAAGTGGAGGAAGCGTCCTCTTACAGGAAACCAGAGGGAAGGGACATTATTATTATATTTTTGTTTTCTGCGCAAAAGAGAAGGAAAGAAAAGAAAGAAAAAAAAAAAACACACACACAAACGGGGAACGACGAAAGCAAAAGGGCATCCAAGAGGAGGTGGAAAAGGAGGAAGGATTAGAAAAAGAGCAGCACGCCCGCATATTTGTATTCAGGCCTCCCGTTCCGTCGTGTCTCTTTAGAAAGAGGGAGTCGTTGTTGTCGTCGTCACTTCCGTCTTCCTATCACACACACAAATAGCACGTTTTTTTTTTTTGCAGTTTTTTTGGCGCCGCAGGTACATTTCCCTTTTAGTGAGTGAGTAAAGGGGGGAGGGGGGAGGAAGTAAGCGGATTTTTCTTTTCTTGTTGTTTTGATTGAGAGAGTGCGTACGTGCGTGTAGGTCTGTGTGTTTCACCGTCTCACCTTGCGGCGATGGCTCGGTACATGTTTTGGCGGCGACGCGGCGCCATGCAAGGGGTTGTGGAGGGTCACTTCTGGAGCCTTACGCGGTATCGCATAGGCCGACGCTTTTTGGGCCTTGACTACGCCGACAACGTCATTTTATTCCCCGCGTACCGCAAAAAGACGTGGGGCGGGTGGGCCGCCGTCACTCTCGGTGCGACGAACGCGAGTTACTTGACAAGTGACACCTCCTCGGCAAATGTGCTGGAGGACGGCTACCCGCTGCATTGGCGTGCGAGCACCAAGCTGCAGGCCTTTATTGCCGAGGAGAGGAAAGATTGGAATAAGCGAAAGGAGGAGGTGGTTGCGCGGCGCGCGGCGGCGATTGTCGCGGAGGGTGAAGCCGCTTCTAGCACTCCGAGTGGCACCAGTAGGAATAATGGCGCTGCGAATAATGCCGGAGAGAAGGGGGCACATGAATACGACGAACAGCACTTCCGCGATGCCATTACGATCAAGTGCACGTCCCCTGGATTTTCCCAGCGTCATCTACGCCTACGCCCATTGACGACTATATTGTACAAGGCAATGTACTTTTACATTTGGGGCATTGTCATCTCTGTCATTGTGCAGGCGTACCTGTTGTTCCGCGGGTGGCTGAACCCGCCGGCGCGAGAGGGGTTAAAGGACATTGAGAACCATGTGCTACATATTCCGAAACTTGTCTTCAGTCTCTGTGTGTCTGGCTTTGCGTGGCTGTTGCAGAAGACGCAGCCACTTGTGGATCCTCTTCTACATTTTCTTGAGGAAAAATTTCCACGGGTAAATTGGAGCGTTGCGTCACCGAAGGTGATTGCAACGAAGGCGCATCAGCTGGCAGGGAATGAGGAGGCGGCGCAGCAGTTGGCCGCCATGGAAGCGGAGAGAGTCGCGGCTGGAAGGGCAGTGCGACAGCAGGCAGATGCGGAGCGCCGAACGTGGTGGAAACGGGCGTTTCTTGCCCTTTTCTGCCTATTTTCCATCCTTTGCATCATTTAAGAATAAGGAGAAGATGAAGAAGAAGGCATGAGCACAAATAAACAAGCATTGTAGAAAAAGGGGGAAAAGAGAAAGAGGGGGGAGGAGCTGCCTCAGGTACGCAATGGGCAGCATGAATAATTTAAATAGGTCTAGAGATAGAAAGAACGAAAGAAAAAAGGGATTGCCAAGGGAGAATGTCCATCATTATTGCTTCTCCAGTGCATGTACATATCTACATCTATCTATATATATATATAACCGAAGATCGTTAGTACTACTGCTATTATAACAGCGATTAAAGGAATATGTGAAAAGTGGAGAAAAATGTGGCTAGTAAAGAGTTGCAGGAGGCTGGGAAGAGAGGAGGGAAAATAATAAAAAAAGAGATTACTGGGTGGTGGTGGTGTGGCAAAGGAGGCGTGGGGCAAAGCAACTCCCCCTACGAGGGCATGAAGAATTCAAAAAAAAAGAAAAAAAAAAAAAGAAGGAGGAGGAGGAAAATGAGGAATGGACAATTAGGAAAGAAATGCTGACACATATAACATACACATGCATACAAACACACACACATACCGAGGGAGAGGAGGAAGATAATAACGTGGGTAATTTGTGACTGTTTTCCATGCAAACATACATGTATGACGGTAATGTTTATAGCAACAACAACAAAAAAAAATTGAATGTGTGATGCATAAAGGAGGCAAACGATGACATCTTCTATTCGTATCATCGTCATGTAATTAATTATATATTTACTTCTCTGTGCATTGGCATTGTATTTCTTGGAAGGGAGAAAACGGGAGGAAGGGGGGTGGAGGTATCTCTCTTTATTGTCGTCGTTGTTGCTTTTGCGCCTCTTCACTGTCTCTTCTGGGAGCTACGCCAGTACTCCTCACAGGCCAACTCCCATAGGGGGGACAGAGAGAGAGAGAGGGTTAAAAAAAGAAAAAAAGTGAATTATTTTTTCATCTTTTTTTTTTTTTTTTTTTTTTCTTCCAACGAAATATTTTACCTCTTTGGATATGCGCCGTGAGGTCTATTTTGTTGCGGTTGTAAATGTTTTTTTGTTTGTTTGTATTTGTGTGTGTTCGCACGACATTCCGATTCTTTCTTTTTTCTTTTTTTTTTAATATATTCACCCAATTGCCTCGTCCTTCAATGCGGGGGCTTGCCGCCACCACAGGAGGGAAAAGGAGGGAAATGAACATGACGGCCCCCTTCGCCCCTTTCCCCCAACAACAACAAAAAAAAAAATATGTACGATGGGCGTTGACTGCTACCACCGTCCTCTCTCTTTTCTGTTTTTTCCTTTTTTTTTTTTTTTTTTTGTTTTTGGTATCAATCACGTGGCGATGGCGCACTTTTGTGCCTTTTTTTTTTTTATTTCCCCGAAGGGAGCCACGCCGTGGAGTGGTTGGTACACGGTGCGTGAGTGGGCCCGTCCATTTACATGCATGCATGCCCGCACACACATATTCAATTGAGAGAAACTTTCATTATGTATCTGTCTATCTATATGTATGTATGTATGTAGATATGTGGAGGGAGATTTTGCCTTTCTTCTTCTTCTTCTTTATATATATATTATATATTATATATTATATATTATTTGATGGAGGAAAAACCCACGCCAAAATAATAATAATAATAATAATAATAATAGTGAAAAATTTAAAAATAAATTAAATGCAATGAACGATGTGATGAGAGAGAGAGGATGCACATGGCAGGTGTGATGTTTTCCGCATATCCGGGGCTTTATGAAAATAACAAATTGTAATGTAATGCTTTTTTTCTTTTTTTTTTCCTTTTTTTTTTGTGTGTGTGCGTGTTTTCTCACCTTTCTTTCTGTCATGTCATGTCGATTATAGTATACATATACATATACATATATATATATATATATATATGCTTATGCATGTATAAACACATACATTTTATATTTTTGTATTTACACTTTTGGAGAAGACATGCGGGGCTGTGGCGTGCTTTGCGCAGGGCACAAGAGGGCAGCGGTGATCGCCACCACCACATGTTCATTGGGAACGCCAACATTAAGCCCTTCATTGACATTACGGCCGGTGACATGTGCCGCGACGCCGGTCACCATTCCGGCTTTCCCTCCACCAATGCGGGGGAGTTTTATTGACCGGAATCCCGTCTGGGCCTCTTTCAACGAGAAGCATACCGCCAAGTCTTTCCGCCACCGCATTGTCTCCAGCGCGGATGTCTCGCTGCGACCGCCACAGTTTTATTTTAGCAATGGAAAGGCATCTGCCGGAGAGGCGGCGGTGGTGCAAAAACGGGCGGAAGCAACGGACAGTTACGGTGAACAATTGGACGAAATCAGCGCGCGTTGGGCGGCAAAATTTTACGGTCGTGTGACGTTTGGTCCGCGCAACTACCCCTACCCGTCTTCTCGCTGGTTGGCGCGGCGTTTCAAGATGAAGAAGCACAGGATTATTAAGCGATTTCGCTTTCGGCGATACAAGTTGGCGGCTGTCGCCAATCTGCCCTTTGCAAAGATGATCCGTGTTGGACTGCTGCCGGAACTCAAGAGCAGCAAGACGAAGAAGGGCGACGATGTGGAAGCAGATCTCAGCGGACGACTCGTTAGCGCCGTGCGCAGCTCCGGGGGGAAGAAGAAGGGCAACCGTGGAAGGCCCAAGTCCAAATACCAGATTTAGTGAGAATGAAAGAAAAGAACAAAGGATACATATAATACATTAGGGTAGAGAGAGATATCGTTGCATGTACGTGTAATCATGCATGGATCTACTCTTTGTAATGGACCGGCAGGTAGAATTATCCAAATGGCGCTTAGAGGAATCACGCACACTGTGGGAAAGCAAACATTTGTGCGGATTAATTAATTTTCCTTTCCTTTTTTCTTTTTTGTTAATTGAAGAAACGAGACTGTTGGAAGAGGGCGGGGGAGGAGAGGATTGAGAAGAGAAGAGGAATAGAAGTCCGGCGTAGTGCTTTTGTGTGAGGGCCACAGCGATGGCTGCCGTGGCGGCTGGCGGGGTTTGGCAAAAGGCCCTTGCCCAACTACAGGCGAGTTCATGGAATGTTGGCCGTGCGCCAACGGCACGTTGTTGGCTTGACTTTTTTCGTTTTTGCGCGACCCCTTTTTCCACAAATACCGGGCAGAACCGGCCGTCTCTTTTGACGTCGTCTTTACCAACATCGGTGCGCCTACTCATAGCCGAAAGTATCATGGATGTGGTAAGGTTGGCTCGCCTGCAGCAGCTCTTTTCCACATCGCCTGGGGGTATGTTTTGTGAATTGCAGGACGGCGGGCGGCAAGGCAGCAGGGAAGAAACGGCAGCGTCTTTTTGGGCCGGTGGCGTTCCAGACGATGTGAATGGTGTTTTTCTCACCACCGATGCTTCTCCCTCCATGCCCTCGTCTGAGATGGTGGAGGTTTTGTCGCATTGGTGTGCTGCACATGAGGCCCCGCACGATGTTGCGCAGTTGTTGGGCTGGCTTCGGGAAGCGGTGGGGTTCCTTCGCTTCTTCACGCCTCAGTCCATATCGCATCTTGAGGGAAGTGCACCACCACCACAACAACAACGGAGGCTGTACCTCACATATTCAGAGTTGCTTCGTGTCTTGCACCATGGGCTCTTTACATTCTCTCTACGTCCCCAGGCGAATGGAGTGGAACATGTGTCGGCAGATGTCTCGGTTCACGAAGAAGTAGCATTACTCGCAATATGGCTTCTGCAGAAATTGAGGAATGGCGATGCGGAAGATGGTCTTGTTGGCCCTTCCAACCCCCCGTCTTCCGTCCATGTTGACTGCAACAGTAACAACAACAACAACAAGGAAAAAGCGCTTAATAAGATGGAGAATATGTTACAGGAGACACAGATGCTCCTTGCCTCGCGTGGGGCGACGCAGGCATGGTTGCTCCACCTTCCGGGGGTTCTTCGTGACTGCGGTGAAAATACCAACGGTCTCAGCAGTGGGGTGGTAAATGACACGGCGCGGCGTATTATTAAAATGCAAAGACGTAGTCCTGTCTGTAGAATTGCTAGCGAGCTTCTTTTGTTTACCTCCTCTTCCACGAGTTCTCCGAATGTGTGTGTACCTTTTGTGGATAGATTTGCCCTGGAGAACGAGGCCGCGGTGTATGCGATGCATGCGCAGCTTAGCTCCATCGCATTTGCTGGCAAGGCCTGAGATGGAAATAAGTTACTGAAACATGAGTTTTCCACCATGGAAGCATGCATAAAATACATACAAACATATTTTGCTGTCTCTCTCTCTCTCTGTATGTATTTATGTATGTAAGTAATTATTTGTGTGCTGCCATTAGCCCTTTCATGACCGTGTGTTTCTGCGTGTGTGTGGCATCACTGCGGGATGGTCTCCCTTCTTTCTTTTCTTTTCCTTTCTTTTTTAATTTTTTTGTCTGTTCTGTCTTTTTTCCGTTGACATTGTTTTGTTTGTTTTTGTTTTTGTTTTTTTACTTATTTGGGCACAACAATATAACCACATTTCTTGACAGTAGGCGAGGCATTCGCTTTTGGTCTTTTAAGACCCATCACCACTCACACGCACAACCCAACCACACTCAAGTCACCAAAACCACACGCACACACTCAGAGAGAGAGTGTGAGAGTGAGAGTGAGAGTGAGAGGAAAAAAAAAAAAAAAAGAAGAAGGGAAACAGAAAAAAAAATGAAGGCATGTCAATTGCGTCTTTCTTTCCTCTTTGCTGTGTCAGCGCTTCGGATGGGACGCGTGTCAAGCACACGTTTGCCGATAACTCCTCCCGCGAATTTGGCTACATTTCACCCGGCCATTGCAAGTTCGTGGATGACTGCGGCGTCGAACAAATTACTGCAGCCGCAACATGTTCTTCCGACGAGCCGCAAACTTGCCTGGTGGCGTTGCCCTCACTGTGGCCACGAACACCACAAACGGATTGATCTTCATGTGGCTGCAGGTGGGGTTTGCCCAAGATGTCAACGCATGCCCACACTGCTACACCCAAGCGACGCATCCAGTGCCGTATTAACTATACCACTTGTGAAGCACCGCTGCCGCCCTGACAACAGTCTGTCTGTGTTGGCTGCTGCTAATGCAAACCGACTCAAGAGCAGTATTGCGGATGATGGCTACCTTCGTGTGGTGGAGACTCGCAACTTGCAGCCGATGCTTGCGCGGAACTTTGAAAAGGAGAGCGACACGATAGATGATGACGCTGTTCTTTTCGTCTCCCCCAAGCTTGATGGGGTACGCTGTATTGTTGCGTGGAATGTGCGGGAACGGCGGCCATGTTTTTTCAGTCGTTCGGGCACCCTCTTTGAATGTTGTGATCATCGTATTGAACCGAGTCTGCGTCCACTGTTTGAGAAG